ACAACCACAGGCTATATGAGCTCAACATAATCAAAGCATATCCAACGTGCCCACGTTAGATTTAGAACAGAGAGAAACAGAATTTTCATATATTCATGTCAGATCTCATAATCCAAATAATTTCTAAAGCCATCGATATATATATATATGTGTGTGTGTTTGTGTGTGTGTATGTATGTGTGTGTGGGTGCATATAAAATAAAATAATATTCAGTTCTCTACATGGTAGGTTACTGAATTAGATGAATTCATATTCTACCAAGTAAACTATCTATCTTTTCGCCATATGAACTTCTTTAATATTTGTGAACTATCCCTTCCTTTTTCACTTTCTTATTTATAATAACTTTCAATCAATCTATGAATTTTCACCTTATATGCATTTGTACCAACTTTACCTTCTTAAATTTTTTTATCCATTAACTTATAGTTTTTCTTTTTTTTAAAAAAAAATCTTTCAACTAATTACATGCAGCCCCATTCAAGTAACAGACTAAGAACTAGTTAAAAAAAATATAGATGGCACATAAACTACTTGCTGCGATCAACATGAGCTAACTCTAAATTCAACTCAAATAATTTCAAGGAATATCACTACCGCAACTTGTAAACATAACCAAACAAACACAAAAATATAATTGAAAGATGGTTTTCCATTATCCAATCTTTATATTTGATTGCAGCGTACAAAAGTAAAAAACTTTTAAATCAAATTTCTATATCAGCAAGTTCTTTTTTATCATTACAATGTTTTAACAAATAAGGAAGCTGCATATTGATTTATTTCACATATCTTTCCCCCCTTTGGCATGAACTGAGCCTATACTAAATCAAAATATGCATTAGCTATTTATTAACAATTAACTTTTATACACTGATAGTATAGTGATTTTTTTATACTAGTAGTGTTGGATGTATGCCACATGTATATAATTTGAATTTCAAATTTAAATTTATATTATATAACATGATCTAAACATTCTTGTGTAAAAAAAAAAATCTTTACACTGACAATGTCTAAAATTAATCCATTTATTAATACGCTTACTCATTTCTCAGTCTTCTCAACCTTACAATCATAAGGGCAACCATTATTATTTGACTATTCTCTTTTTTCTCTTTTCTTTTTCTTTTTCTGAAAAAGTATAATTTGACTAATCTCTAATCTCAAACTTTGGAACACAATTATATCTCAAAATACAAATGGGAAAATATGCATATAATATTGCTAATTAGATGTCTACATTAGTTTGATATTTTAAAAAATAGTACATTTAAAAGTATACGAACTTAATTATCAATTTCAAATTCTCATATAAACAAACATATGTATTCAGGAAAATAGTAATTTAAGATTTAGATAATCAAAAAGAGAAATAATTTACTTGAATGTGTAAGCAATTTAGTTATGAACAAATTTTTTTGACATAATAGACAAAGTTTTAACAAGTTAACATGTAATATTAATACAATTATTAGTGATTTGAACTTCATAGATTAATTAACAAAATAGCAAGTTTAGAAATACTTAAAGAGTAAATTTCAAATTTTCATAAAGCAAAAGTTAGGTGGAGGGGAGCAATGGACTTTCATCAAAATCTAAGGAAGGCAAGAGGAAGATTTTGAATGAAAACTTAAAAAACTCAAAACTTAGGAGGCAAGACAAAGATTTTGAATGAATATATGGAATAGGGAGATGACACTGTTTAGTTACAAATTTTAAATAATACACCTCCAAATCGGAAAAGAAACATTAATCTAAAAACCAAATAAGAAAAAGTTTGTATTAATTTTTCCTACAGCTTTAATGTAAAAATTCTTTTATATTAGTAGATGTGGATGCACAACAACACATGTAAAAATAAAATTTTAAATTTGATAGAAATTATGTGTCATGCATCCATAATCACTAGTTAAAAAATCTTTACAATGATGTTGTAAGAAAGATTGATCTAAAAAGTTTATACCACAAACTATTTTACTTGTTCACATTTTTTTCCTTTATCTTAAGAAATTTAAATGTATTTTTCTTGCATGACTAATATCCTTGCACCAATTAGTAACAAATGGTAAAGGTTGGCATCAGGCAGGCAGATAATCCAGACTAGAATGCTTGCTTCCTAGTATGCAAGAGTTCAACATTTCCCATTTTTCTCCAAAGGAATCAAGTAAAGAAAGAAAAAGAAAATTAGTCAAATTTGTACTTGATGCATCCCATAATTTTCTGGTGCATCTAGGGATTCTTAGAAAATATTGGGCCTTAGAGTTATTCACCCAAATTTGAATTGCAAAAAGAAAACAAGTAAAAAAGATTTATACCTTATCCAGTTCTTTCAAAGGGCATATACTATTCCTTCAATGGATCCAATTTGATGCCTCCTCCACAGACACACACTGCCAACACATTTTTCTGGTAATTATAGCGCCAAAAATACCAACTGAAGTAACAGATCCATCCCACAATCAAGAAATCGAGAACAAAAACATCATCTTCTTCATTAGGCTTCTAGATGGCTTCAGCCACAACGAAACCTTCCTTCACATTTAATCTTCCAACCACTTCTTCTCTAACTCAACCATCCAACAATCATAAACCCAATCCCCAGCTCAAAATCCCACCTCTCTTCTTCAAATCCCATTCCATTTCATCCCTTCACAGCTCTAGAAAATCCCATTTCAACACCCCTGCTGTTAAGTCCATTGATGTTTCCAAAGAAGATAAGCCCACAAGCTCATTAGCGGAAGAAACAGCCAAGAATTTATCAGAAACAATCACTGAACCTTCCCAAGAAGAGGCCCCAAATTTTGATCAGAGAAGACTTGAGGAGAAATTTGCTGTATTGAACACTGGAATTCATGAGTGCAGGTCTTGTGGATATAGATATGATGAAACTGTTGGGGACCCTTCATATCCCATTCCACCAGGGTTGCCATTTGACCAGCTGCCTGATGATTGGAGGTGCCCAACTTGTGGGGCTTCCAAGGGTTTCTTTGAGAGTAAAAGTGTGGAAGTTGCTGGTTTTGCTCAGAATCAGCAGTTTGGATTTGGTGGTAATTCACTAACCTCTGGCCAGAAGGCTCTGCTCATATATGGTGGTCTAGCTTTAGGCTTTTTGTTCTTCTTGTCTGGTTATCTTCTTCAATAGTGGAGGATTAATCTGGGCCGAATAATGATTTGTAGAGTTTTATCATTTTGTTATTGTTGTTCTTAGCACTTTTTAAGTACAGGCAAAATGTACTCGAGCATCTGTTACTGATGTGTAGATAAAGAAAATTTAAGAATTCAATGTTTTGGCATGAGATTTGTTCCTAAATCATTTGATTTTGGAACTAATGCATTAACACACTGATACAAGTAGAAGGCCTATCACGCTGATTAAACTTGTAATTTAAAATGCAACTCGTAATAGATTTGTCTAATAAGATGATCTTACTCAAGTTTATGTGATAATTTTAGAGTTGGAAGGGTCAAACTTTGAAGGATTAAAGGGGCGTTTTTTCAGCTTAGAGGTGGCCTTTTTATCCGTACCTAGAGGATACCTTTGTTTTTTGTTACTCTGTACCATTCTCCTGAAGTGTGCTTGATTAGAAGATTATACCATTCTTCTGTACCATTCCTTATGTTGAATCTACTTACTTAAACATGCTTGTTAGATTATAGCAATCAATTAACATATGCATCATAGTAGTAAATTGAACATACTAAAGGTATGTAGCTAATCAACATATTAGTCAACATTGATCAATTCCTCTCCTCTGCCCTGTCTAACTGGGATATAAGATGCATTTTAAAGCCTTAGTTCTGGTATCTTTTTTATTCTGATGAAAGCATGTATATCAAAGCCTGGAAAGAAGAGTTCCACTATGTAGGCATTCTTGTGATCCATTGCACGGCATTCAGGAAAGCTTTTCCCAGGAGCGGAAACATGCTAGTCACCAAAATGATATATGTTTGATAGGTTTTATATGTTTTATGGGTGAAACGTACGCGTGGAGCTGGGCAAGTTTTACAGACAATAAAGATGTGATGGTTTCTTTCCTCTTGCTTTCTGTATATGTTGGGCAAGGAGAGAGGCTTTCTTATGCCTTGAACTATCCATCTAATATAATGTTACTTATGAGTTGCCTAAACATCATTGTGAAAACTGAAGATGGTCCAACTTTATTTTTGCTTGCTGCCAAGAGGACCTGGAAGAACTATAACTTCGGCAATAGATCTTCTGTCTCACTTCTTGTGTCATTTTGTATCCCATTTTTTATTTTATTGTTATTTCTCTTTCACAAATATTGTATTTAATTCTTTTTTATTTCCTTAAAATCAAACTACTATTAATTGAGCAAAAAAAATACACAAAATAGGAGATTTTTTCTAATTTTCTATTATATTTTTTATTTTTCTACTATATATTTTGTACCAATTTTCTATTATATCTTTAATCAAACAAACTCAAAAAGTCAAAATACACAAAAAAAAAATGAAATTTTTTTCATGAATTTTCTATTATAATTTTTTTAATTTTCTACCGTATATTGCTTTTTTGAGAAAATGAGATTTTTTTCTAATTTTCTATTATATTTTGTATTTTTCTACTATATATCTTTTGCGAATTTTCTATTATATTTTTTAATCAAACAAACTCAAAAAGTCAAAATACAGAAAAAAAAAAATAATGAGATTTTTTACGAATTTCCTGTTATATTTTTTAATTTTCTACTATATATTGCTTTTTTGAAACTATTGTATTCTTTTCTTGGCTCAATTAATAGTTGTTAGATTTTAAAGAAACAAAAAAGAATTTAAATACGATGTTTGCAAAAGAGAAATAGCAATATAATAAAAAATAAAATAGAAAGTGATACAGAAAGTAAGATAAAAAATCCATCGCGAGAAACAATTGCCCAGACGTTCAAGTACTATAACATATTTCTTGATCATAGTTTTGCAGATTTTGCTTCCTTTGGTGTAAAGCCTTCGCCTGGAAAGTATCCCAGTTTTGACTGGAAGAAACTAATCAAATATTCAAGTCAAAAATTGGTTAGCTTGTTTCTCCATGACTTTTGTTGCTTACCCTTAAAACAGTTACACAACTGGAAAGGAGAAAGGTAGATCTAAGGGGTACCACATCTCGTCTGGTAGTGATGTGCATATTGTAAGCATTATGAAAGCTAGCCTGCATCTAGCAAACGAATATAACAACGATTTTCTTAAATTGCACCTTCCACATCTAGTAAGATTTACACAATACCTGCGTAGACAGATTCCTTCATGAGTAGCTAAAATCATTAATGAGAACCTAAATTTGGCCACTGATACCAGCTTACAGTATGGAGAGTAGGCTCAGAAGATGCCAAGCTAATGGCAAATGGTATGGAACTTAGGTTGTCTGTTGCTCCTGCGTCTTTTGGATATCACTTCAAATCTGGCTTTGTTTCTTGGATTTTTTATCTTGGATGCTCCTACAACAGAAACTTAACTGAAGTTTCTCTATTTGTAGCGCACAAGCTGTTTAGAATACTCCTGTTGATTGTGAATAACACTGAAATCTCCAAGCCCCGCCGCACCACATGGGCAAATGATAGGAAACATGAGAGCGACCGAGCATGTATATCTTGCTTATGATACCCTGTTGTTAACAGCAAGTCTATGTTCAGAGAGTAAGTTCTTTTGTGAGATAAAACACTATTGGAGATCCTCGTGCATTACCAACTCAGGTAACGAACATCTGCAATATTCTTCAATAAAATCACTAGAAGCAAAGCAAGTAACGTGGAGACATCTAAAAGCGCAAACTGCACCAGAAGACCAAGCTGCACATACCAGAACGTTTTCGTCAAACAGAATGCCATGAAACTGCTCTACGTACACTTCTAAGAGTACTATTTTTCTCAAGCATATTTAGTTCAGACAAAAGGAGCTTAAGAAGAAAGATTCCGATGCACATTTGCATTGTTACTCGCACGACCAAGGTTATTAATAATCACAACTGAACATACATAATGAACTGTAGCAGTCAATTAGCAAAGAATTAAATATATCTTCTTAAAATGTTAACTGATGATGCTGCACATTTGTGGAAACTGCCACACACATGGTACTTTACAATTCTCTTCCACAACCAGTATGTATAAATGGATGGGAAGAGAAGGCAGGCTGAGAAACTATCCTACCCTATCCAACCAAGTAGAACATACATGTCAGGGTGAATAAAAAACCCCCTGGTGATTATACATAGGAGGAACCTAAAAGGTATTACCATCCCAACCCACAACCAAAAGATCCCCGAAACCCAAAAAACCGCAAAAAAATAAGGGAAAAAGAAAAATCTCTCCCCTAAGAACCAAAGTGAGAAGAAGCAATAGGAAGACAACAACAAATGAAGTGCTGTAGAATCTGATTCATACCGTTGTTTCTGATATTTCTCTGAAACAAGATTACATAGCGACAAGCTTCGAACTGTTCGTAATTGTTTCATCCAGAGTCTAGGACCTGTACTCATGCACCAAATATTTTGACATCCTTGCTCTACTGAAACAGATTACGTAAAGGTCCACTTGACATCAGCAAACAGTCCAACCTATGCAACAGCATTACTGGATCCTATATCAGATGAATTCTGACTGGGTCGGCTTTTGACTTGATAAACTTTTTTCACTTGCTTCTCGTATCCTGAAGCTGTTCCAGCAGCAGGTTTGCTGATCCACTTTGAAGGAGGTGATGGAAGTGGACTGACATTCTGCACATGAATGTGGCCTGTATTAGATGACTGCACTGAATTTGGCATCCTTGGAGAAAATGCAGCATTTGGCCTTGTTCGACCGCCAGTTTCAATTGTCAGGGTAGTCATTCCATTCCTTAAGTTGTAATACTGATCTTGACTTGGATATCGACATTGTGCCCTGAAATTTTGCCTGTAGCTCTGCAACTCAAATGGTGAAGAAGCATATCCCTGACCACCCAACATGCCCCGAGAATTATGATATCCATTGACATAATTTGGTTCCCCAACAAAGCCTCCATATCCAGATTGTCCAGGAGGCCTAGGCTTATTTACTGCATCGTTGCCCAGAGCGCTTCGATAAGTCATTTGCTCAGAGAAGCCCCTTTCATATCCTGATGGTCCAGCAGGTCTCGGCCTATCTGTAAGATGGTTTCTTGGGAAATTCTGGTTAGCCTTTTGTGCCCTCACCCCAGAGTAATTATAGTTGGAATTTATATTGAGTGTGTTGTTAAGTAGACGGTGTGCTGCTTCACCCAGCGAAGGACCAGCTATTGCTCCAGGTACCTGTGGCCTGTAAAACAGAAAAAATCATGAATACACAAATAATAATGTCATTGAGAGCATAAATTGTTATATGATGCGAAAGGTGACTATCCTCACAAGACTAAATTAGACAGCTAAAGAAGGCAAACAACACTAATTACTTGAAATTGATTTTTCCCCAATTAGGTTGCCGCATAGTTCAACAGATCATAAAAAATCACCTTCAAAGAATGAATGAACTTTTCAATGTGGCATAAATTTCAAAATTAGCTTTTACAAATGAATAAATCCAGCAGAATTCTAAAAACAAGTTCAAAAACCAAAAGCAAATGAATAACACAGGCCTCTTATCAAAATGCACTTTACCTATTTCTTCCTAGCTGGCGCTTGCTACCAACATCTTCATGCCATAACACAGGGAATGGTTTAATGTCAATTGCTCTTAGGACCTATAGTTGAACATAGCAAAGGCTGCTTTAATATGAACAAGGAAACATCAAGCAACTCAAAACAGAATTAGCATAGTAGCTACAACTAGGACAGAAGCATTTGGATTGCACTTATTATGAGAGTTTAGAAAGATAACAATGTAGTACATATTCAAATGTGATGTATATGAGACAAAATGTTGTTGGAAAAATAAAAAGGTAGTTGGGAAATGTTTCAAGGGAACATTTCCAAAACATTTTTTGAAAAAAAAAATTGGCAATCCCAAAAAAGCTGGGCCCAAGACCAGACATTTCAAAGCAAAATTACCCTGGATGTGGCAGTGCTCAAAGCATACCAGATCAAACAGGACTTCTTACAATTAGAAGTTTTCTTCTTGAAATATCTACTACAGAAGTAGCAGCTTGGAATTGACTCGAGCGTCTGCTTATTTATAATACTCATAACTGCCATAAAATCAGCATTAAAACCCAAAAAAACCTTCATTTTCCTAAAACTAATTGAATTATCTCCCTTAATCTTTGATCAGTGTGCTTCTTACAATTTATTGGTTTAAGAGAAATGGAAAGAAGAGTTATTACAGTTCACTGGGATTCAGAGAAATGGAAAGTAAAGAAAGGGATTCAAGGTTTTGTATTACTGGTTTAGATTGCCAAAAAAATGGATTAAAAAATATAGCACCAAAAATAAAATGTAGTTCCAATTATTTAAAATTTAGTATTATTGATAAATAATGGAATACTAATTTGGATCACTCTTATATTATCTAAAAGTTGATTTATTCAATTAATACCTCAAATTCTTAGAAAAATATACCTCTCAAAAGGTGAAACTTTTGAATTTCGGTCAGTTTGTTGTCAAGGCTAACGCCCAACACATTAAAAGGGCCAGCTAAAGCCACAAAGAAAATTAGCCCACTACTTCAAGAAATTAAAACAACTATAGTATAAGAGACTGCCACAATAAAAGGAAATTAGCAATCACATGGGGAGTTTGTCCTCCCAAAAGATGGATATTCTAAAGCGAGGGCTGTATGGAAGTGACCCACATCAGACAACATACCTTTTCAGGAAATACTGTACCATCAGGAGGCCTTGGGATGTGCTTATGAGGTAACGGATTCAAATAGGTTATATTTCTGAAAGATGAAAGAAGAACAGAGAACTTAAACAATTGCATTCTCTCTTTTATAGTTAAAGAAAAGAAGAAACAAAAAGACCTACAGTGTTTCATTGTTGATGATATCTGGAAATCCATTAACTGAGGAAGGAACTACTGGTGTCTTACGATTCCTCTCAGTTAACCACATAAATCCATTCATTCCACCACTGCAAAAACATAGATCAAAACCAAGTGTCACACAGCAAGTTGGTGCAATCACTTTCCAAGATAAAAGATGAAAATATTAACAGCATTGTTGGCTGGCCAACCTTGCATTGGTGTCAATAGCGCAAGGGTGCCGCTCTTTTAGAGGCACTAAACCAGACAGGTGATAGTATGACAGAACATGTGGACCGAGAGGATGGAGGGGGTGGACATAGAGCAAATCACACATCACACTATTACGATGTCGCTCTTCTTCCTGCAAAGACCAGATATATATGAACACAAGTTGCATTCCACAACAAAACCATGAAATTGTAGAAGCAAGCTCTGTAATCAAAGGCATTTCAGATATATTAAGGCTGAGAAAGATTCAATTTACTAGTCCTTCATGGACGTCAAGAATTACATAACATTTTTAACAATTTCCCCACCAGGTACCCACCTTGCTGTTTGTCAACTAATTAATTAATAAACATGGTTAATTTTTTAGAACTCCAGAGCCCAAAAATCTTTTTTTTTTTCCCAAAAAATGAAAAAAGAACAACACATTTGCACAAGTTTTTTTTATGGCTTCAGCAGTATCTTACTAGTTGAACTCCACCACAGAAAGTCTACATACATCTAGATTTATAATTAACTATGAAAAACCGAAACTGTCAAACCAGGTAATATTTCATCAACATTATTACAAATTACAAAGGGACCGGATATAACATTGTGGACACTGCCTGCACTCTTCCTTAGGCCCGTTAAGTCCAAGGCCACCATTCTTTGATTGTCCTGGTGAGGAAGTTGTAGCCACAAACTAATCCCACGTCTAGAAATCCTAACCAAACTCACAAAGAGCACAACCTAAATGACTCCATTTCGTAAGCACCTCCAAGTCTTGTTTAAAGACCACATGGATTGCAAATATAATGACAGCATGAGTTCAGAAACACACTTCTGTTGTCTATGAACAATAGAAAAAGGGTAACGGAAACAATAATTACTTATCCATACCGTTAACGAATCTTCAAGTTTCTTTGTAGCAGTAAGCAATTTGTTCTCATCAATGAATGGCAACTTCACAACACCCTGATTATTACAGAAGAAAATGAGTGTCACTCCTACTCGTGATGCCATCCATCTAAAAAGGTGACTTCATAATAAAAGGAATATCAAGGTATACCTGCCAGGCAAATCGCTTCCCATGCATGTCAACTTCAAAATCTGCACTTGTTTGGAGAGATGAAGTTATTTCTGACGGTACAGAAGGAAATTACTGAATTAAATACAAATAGTCAACTAGCATTACCAGATGGGTAGAAATGTATAATAGGCGATGATGGATCAGTCATTAAGCTCCTGTACTTCTCAGGAAGAGCACTTGAACTGCCAATTCGAACGAGGAGCATGTTGTAAACAACAAAACAATAGAAGAACTAATAGAATCAAATAAAAGAACTACAACAAACAAAAACGAGAGACAAGTCCAATCTGCAATAACCTATAAAAGTGCATGCAGGTGATTGTACATCAGTCTTACCAAACTGAACATCCTAATGTTCAAGTTTGTTTGATTATTTTATTGAGTTTAACATTGTGTTCAAGCTTGGTCTGTTTATACATTAAGCCAAATTCAAACGAGCATTTATCAAGCCGAGCTCGAGTAGTCCGAGTTTTTTACCTATAAGCTTCACTCTTATGCTAATCAAGCCAAGTTTGAACCAAGCTTGAAAATTTATCGAACGTAAAATGCTGTTCAAGCTTGATTTGACTAATTAGCGAACCAATCTCAATTCTCAAACAAGCTCTTACCCAACCAAACTCAATTCGAGTATCGAGTAGCTAGGTTCATCTTTCAGCCCTAGGGGAGAGGGAGAGGGAGGAAGAGGGAGAGAGGGAAGGAGGGGGAGATATAGAGAGAGAGAGAGAAAGAGAGAGGGAGAAGGACCTTGAAGCTGGCAGGGTACCCATGAGCTGATCAAAGGGTTTAAATGGCACCCCAAGAAAAAATGTAATCTCTAAATCAGCTAGATCTTTAAGGTCAGAAGCAAATGGAGCATAATGATATGGATAGAACCTGAAACAAAAACCGAGCAAAAAAAATACAAAATTCAACTTTTAATTTAATGCATAAAGGAACATGAAAAGGAAAAGGAAAAAAAAAAAGCCAGACCCATAAACCAACATTAAACAGTGTCCCCTACTAGCAAGATTGCAAGACAGAAAAACTGAGTGAAATTGATTGAAACAAACTTCTTACCCTTGCACCCAAAGATAAAGGAAGAAAAGATAAATCATATAGGAAACAAAAATAATATACAAATATCCCCATAAGACACTTAGTGGTCATGATAGCATAGATGATGTCAGATATTCCATTCAGGTCAGAATAAATAACCACATGGATACACTTTGTTGCATCACCATCCCAATCTTATTCAAACAAACATCAGATGTCAAACATCCAATACACAGAGTCTAGTACAACAGGAAAAACAATATTGTTGCCTAATGAAAAAACCAACCATTGCCATGAGCAGACACCTTGGTAGTAATACCGACACACCCAGCATAACCCCTCCACATACTTCTGAACCTGCACAATAATTTGCATCATCTCGTATGTTATCACAGGCATCAACATGGCACTTAAGTTATCTCTAAATACAACATTTCCATCTCAAGCAAATACAGAAGATATACAAGCAGAAATGAGGAACTACAATGACATACAATCAACTATTTTTATTCCTTTTATTAAAGTGGAGTTGCAATGAACCTTTCCTAGGGTAATTAGAAGATTAGCAATAGAGTTCAAAAGACAGCAAAAGGAAAAAAAATATAAACTAAACATCAAGAAGAACAAGAACTATAAAAAAAACAAGATGCAATGTTTCTAAATACAACCTAAAATCAAGGCCTTAATACAACCTAAAGACCAAAACTGGAAGGGGAAAAGAAAGCGAGAGACTGGATGGAGGGCCAAAAAGAAGGAAGAATCATGTCATTTAGTTTCCAATATGCTACTCTGAGGCACACAATCCTAGACCGATATTTCACTATTTGTTTTACCTACCAATGCCACTCATTGACAACTTGCTTTCTATGTTAAATCAAACTTTTTACTTATACTTCCTAAACAATTATTCCACTAGCAAAATATTCCACTAGCATTTCGCAAGTTTTTCTTCATGCCAGAACTGGCTTTACAAAGAATTAGAGTTGCATATTACATGGTAAATTTCCCACTTAAAAGGGATGTGTAGTGCAAATATATTCACCAAAGATTGAGATAGAAAAATGGCAGATCTCATACAGACTTTTTCAACAGTACTTTATACTTCCTGATTTACATAAGAGTAATTTCCTCATTTATAGAGTGTCATTCATAAGCAGAAGAGGTTATTTCCTTCCAAAATAGATGGACTTGTAATATTGACATATCAGGGAAATCTTACTTCGAGTACGATGACACTGGTGTGCAAGGAAGAACCAAAAAACAAAAAATCCAACAAATGGAAGCATTAAAATAAGGAAGATTTCGATTCGTTCTTCATTAAAGCAAATAGAAGGACTCAAGAAACTTACTACATCATTTCTGACTTCATCAATCTCCACTGGCTTTGATACTCCAAATTTCTCACAATAGTACCTTTCTTTGTAACCAGGCTCCCCTAACTTTACCTGAAAGAGAAAGGTAAATTACCAAAATAACTACACGAAAGCAGAGAGGCATAAATAAAAATTAGTCCCAGCACTAGCATTACTGCAGTCCTAATTACAAAAACACCACCAATACAAGGCATAAGGATGGCATGCAATCCTTGACTTCTTTTTTTCACAATAATTTATCCATAAACACAAAAAAGTACCCATTTGCAATCCAATTCTTCCTCATCTAAAGAAAAGTTTACATCTCAGAGCTTGACTTGAGGCATTATATCAACTCATAAAAAAAAAAACCCCACTTTTTCCCTTTCGATTTGAAAACTACCTAGAAATATACATTTAGGAACTCATATTGTACAGGAATTGACATATTCCACTCCCATTCTTCTCTTTCTGGTTTTAGTTATATTTAGGTCCAACCATCTAAGCTTTTAGCCAAGTCATAAACAATATAAGGTAAAATGATTGGATGAGTCAGTGAGCATTCATACCAATGTCAATATCTGAGATAAGATTCCTTAGAAAAGAGATACAAAGATGAAATTACATGCTAAAGTCAAAAAATTTTACATAGATAACTTTTTAAGTAAAGAAGGCTGGATGGAGAAGTTTCTCAAACTTTTAAAGCACATTTTGTGTACATTCACTTAGAATTTAATCATGGTCCGCTTGGTTGGTTTTTTATTAGGTGTTTGTCTAAAATTTCACTGTTGCTCAGCATAGTTATTTTAGGACAATATTGCTGTCTGTCCAAGACAATTGTTTTGGAAAGATGTTTGGTGCTTTTTAGGGTGTTTTATGTGATTCAAAACATGGTGGTAAAACCCTGCCACCCTCCACGCACCACCCACCTCCATCCCCCTCCTTCCCATCTTCTCCCTATGCCTACCACCCTCCTCCCCTCCCCTCCCCTCCCCTTTTTCCCCTCGCACCTCCCCTTCTCGCAATCCCCCCCCCAAAAAAAAGCCCAATCAACCAGATTGGGCTTTTTTTTTGGGGGGCGGGTCCCGGGGGGTTGTGTGTGTGTGTGTGTGTGTCGCTGGAAGGAGGGAGGGGAGAAAGGGAAGGAGGAAGGAAGTGGGGGAGAAGAGGGGAAGGAAGGGGGTGACAGGTAGAAGAAGGGAAACGAAAGGAGGATGGAGGGTGGCTGGTGGATAAAGGGAGGCGGGTGGTGGGCGTTTTCATGCGTGTTTTTGGGTCTTTTACTTTTCTTTTTTTTTGTGGGTTTTTGGGTGGGGGGGGGGGAGACGAGGTTGTCAGTTATTTTCTATTTTTTAAAGTGTTTTTACCAATTACTCTAGTTAGTGATTTTGGACACTTTCCATTTCTAAAACAGCCCTGCCAAACAGACCCTCAGGTTTTATCGGCACTCTGCATAAGCTTTTTCCTCATATCCAAGATCTGTCCCCACCTACTTACCTAAGTTTTAAAACGAACTCCAACAGTAATTTTATATATTTTTTCTCCGTCCAATTCTATCTGGACAACACTCACAAGCTGTCTCTCCACCTACTTAGAAACAAACTCCAACAGTAAATCATGTATATCTCTCCCTCCATCCAATTTTCTATTTTGGCAACACTCAAAACCTAATGTGAACAACAAACAATGCAGAATAACTAATCAGAGGTGGAAAAAAGCATTGACAACATTAAGCATTAGAATGTGATGCTAACACATTAAAAGAAAAGTGAACATGCATAGAAGAAGACAGGAAGTTGAAAACAAGTAGACTAAAACTGCAAGCCTTCCTGCTCCAGCAAACCTTCCCCCAAAATGACATGTGTAGTTAAGAGGCCTTGTCCAATGTGAATCAAAGTGGAAATAGCAGAGAACCGACAGAATCCTCATCTAATTTGTTGTACCTTATCCACAACTTGAGCCTGGGGCTCCTCGTTGCTCTCTCCTCTTGCTTTAAGCTTCATCTCTTCATTATTCTCTATGGCCTGAAATAGCAACTACGGTTATAAATAACAAAAAACTAAAACTTACATAAAACTAGGCAACTATAATGCTGGATGGTGCAGGTGATACAAACCCTAAACAATTCAGCTAACTATTAAGTAGCAGAAGGAGATCTGACTCAAAGGTTCATAATCAGTTGATGAAACATAATTAACAAAAGATTACCAACAAATCATGTTTGAAAAAATATTTGTCAAAATAACATAAAAACACAAAAACTACATCAAAATCACTATGAAGGAGAAAAGAAACCTAGATTTCCCCAGGAAGTAATAGCTGAGACAGAAAAAATAGGAAGGAAATAAAGCTAGTGCATCCCTGCAAATAACATATTCTGAAATAATAACTTCAAGTCCTCGACAGATATTAAAGCATCAGGTATATGGTGGGTGATCAGACATAGACATCCTTGGCAAGAACCTACTAGTAAGTGTGAAGAAGAGTAATTTTTTGAACTATAAAGGGGGGGAAAACTCAGCATATTAGCTAATTCATTAAGATGCTCATGAATAGGCTTCAGAATTAAAACAATCACAAGCACCTGCTGTATACGAGCACGCTTTTGAAAAATTTGATCTTCATGAACAGCAACAGCCTGAATAAAGTGTTCAACTCTGTCCAGCAGAACCTGAAATGCAGGGGAAACAATAAGCAAAACCTGTCACTTAAATAGAACCACTTCATTAAAGTAAGTTAAAGGACCAAACTAGTCCACCTTGAACATCCTGTTCTGATAAATTTATGGTATTTAACAAAGAACATACACACAAATAAGCACCATAAGAGCTAAAAGTTGTAAGGTGCTAATATACGAGAAGAGAATGATTTTAAGAACTAACAAATATAAATTGTACACCATACGTCACAATTATGCATGTAGTTATACTGCAGATGCGCCTAACAGATTTACTTGTAGAACTATACTTGCATTAACACAATCCGGAAAATAAATTCATTCAATTAACCCTTAATTTCATCTACATATTGTGCGGACATTATGAGAACTCTCACTTGTCAATTTAAGAAAAAAATAGAAGAAAGAGCAATCAAAAGGTCATATCAAATTGTTTTTCCACTCTCTAACCTCAATCTTTGTACTATACTTTCTTTCCACAAGATCTACCATTTAAGTTGTCCATAGTACAAAGGTCTGCCATTTAAGTCAGCCAAAGCACAAAGCATGTAGATGCAGATGCAAGAAATCATGTTATTCATCAAAAGATCAAATTGTTAAGATTTCCGACAAAGCATCGTGCAGGAAATCTTGGGGCTTGTTTGGCACATGAGTTTGATTTTAAAATTTGATGAACCACACACAGACATCTCTGCACCATGAGGGCACCTATAATCTACAGTCCAAAACTTTCACTCTACATTATATCCTCTTCTCATTTTGAAATATCAACTCAAAAAAGGGACCGAATTCCAGTCCAGTCCATGGCAATGGAAATAGCATTGACAATATTATCTTTCTGAGGCCAAAAAGGAGAAAGACAGATTGGCTAGCCAGAAATCTCATGATAAAGCATTGCCTTTCAGCACCAAACAACCCTCTATTAGGAGATCCAATAACACCTATTTGCAGACCGAATCTTAAGTACCACTATGAGCTCTAATGAGAATTTTAAGAGCCACCAAGCAACCAGGGAACCCAAAACCAAAGCGAGCAAGGACACCCAAATTTGTACTCAACATCTAACCACCATTAGATGGTATTCATCTGGAATTAACTTTTAAGCAAAATTGGCATTTTGCACCTAATAAATCTCAAATAGTCACCCATACAATTATTTTGCTTTTCTTTTTCCCTAAAGTAACAAGGATTATTGAGGTTTTACCATTTCAGACATCATTAATTCTAGTCATAATGCAGGTATGTGTCATCAAAAAAGAGGATGGCCACTAATCAAGAATATTAAAGCCACTAGAAGAACAGAAAATTACCTCACCCTCTTCAGTAAGATAACCACCCATTGCCGTGAACTCCCTTCTGTATACAACCATCAGCAGATTGATAGCCCCCTATTGGACTTAAAAAAATTTAGTGACAGCTAAATAGAGAAAGCACCAAGGAAGCCACAAACTAGCGAAAGAATATCCCACTATCTAACGAGTTATGTAATCTCTATGATATCAATGTACCACGATCCTAGTAATACATATATACATAACAACAATATATGACAATATCAAACAATTGCGCAGAGACTAGTCACAGCAATAACCGCTTCTAATAGCTGGCTCAGTGACACATACCTCTCTAATTTCTAATGTAGGCATATGAGGTAGAAAGTCGTTGCCAACAAAGAAGCACAAAAACACAAAATCATCCACCAGCCTTTCAAAGTCTAACGCAAATGGAGGGCTGACTATCTCTAAATCATACTGCAAGTACTCACGTAAAACCCATATGTTGAGGAACTGCCAAATAAATAAAGGGTGACAAGAAGTAAGAAGGGTTCCATAATACAACAACAATAAATGGAAAGAGACTTGAACATGAAACGTCAAACTTTAAGCTCATAATTGATTACCCCACCTGATACTTTTTCTTGTGAATAGGAACGTCATTTACCAAATTCCCATTTGCATCTTTAGACCCACTACCCGCACCATTACACTCAGCTGCCAAATGACCAACTTGACCGCATAAAAAACATTTTTCCTGTTGCCCAGGTGGAGTAATTACCTGTACCATCCATGGAGAGATTCAGAGTATTAAACGTTTACAGAAAGAATCCCTACAACAGTCTACACAATAATGCCACACTTACCTCCCTCAATATAGAAAAGTGGACTTCATGTGTAGCTAAAGACAGCATAATCAGATCAGCATCCTACGTTCAGACAAATCAAAAAATTGCTTCAGACATTACCATCACAGAATTACAAACCAGATCCATCAGGCCAATTGTTAAAGCTAAAAAAGTATGCAAAGAAATGAAACAATGACGTTAAAAATGAAGGCAAAGCAAGTAACAATTATATAACTCACCAGACCATATAGACAATGTTGGGTGTTTGGATCAAAGCCAGGAAGATTACGTTGTAAACGAATATATGACATGATTTTGTGCTCTCCCTCACCAGGAACATTTGAATCAGAAAGAATAACCTTCAAATAAGCACCCAATGCAGCCCCATAAATTAATTAAGAGATGACAAAGTATCCTGAAAACCAGAAATATTTTGAAGATAGAACCCGAAAAGATCACTCTGCAGGATCATCTAATTTTCAAAGACTGATCAGGGAAAGGAATTTGTAAAGCTCTAACATCGCACCTTTGTAAACCTCCAGCCAGGATTGTGGTTCAACCTAGACTGTACATAATACTGAAGCGCTACAGAAAGCACCGCCATGAATGGAGTACCAGGGGTGATGACATTTGAATCAGATGTCTCGGGCTTCTCTTTTGGCAATAAATTAGCCCCCTCAACCTCAAATTCTTTCTTCAACCTTTCTTCTTCAGCTTCCTGGAGGAGGAACTAGACTACATGACTAAAACTTCTTCTACTTTCAAAAGTGAGATGAAAGAATTCTTACAGCTTCAGCAGCATCTTTAGCAGCCCTAAAACGCCTAGATCGTTGCTGGTTCATTTTAGCCCTAGGAGCAACGCCATCTAAAGAAGAAATAACAAATTTAAGACACATAGGGTCCAATTCCAAATAGAACACTGAGAAGGACAATTTCTTTACTTACCAATTGCCATATAAAGAAGCTTTCTTGGGCGAACCAGTGAGAATAAGTGGTCTATGTAATCAAATATTGATCTGAAGACATCATCATAGGTGGTCGGCGCAGGCTGTACATACAAGAGGACAAAGCCACGCTTCATTAAACTAAACAAAAAAGCTAGAAAACACATATTAGGAAAGCTTTTGCAAGAATCAACTGCTCAATATACAATTGATAAATCCTAGAGACGTCTCTTAGAGCTATCAATTTCAATCATGTGTACCAACTTCATGTAAATAACTATGTAGCTGGTACTTGACACTTCATAAACATCATTACGTTTCATAAATGCAATTGCTAGACATTCAACCACAGATCCACAGCCATATAGACTTATCCAAGAGCTGCATCAAATGTGAAGTCAACATGAAAAAAGCACCAATAAATATGTCCCCAAATGAAACCCAAAAAAATAAAAGTAAAATAAAAATCTCAGACCATACACAATATAGAAAAACTCTAGATTTGAGGCTCTCCATAAATTAAGAAAAACTTTACGTACTTATTCGGACATTGGATTATACAGAAGGGCTAATGAAGGCCATACATGAAAAGAACCCCTTTACTATTGAGTAGAAAATTTCACAGAAAAATTAACAGACAATATTCCAGTCTTACAATTTACTCACTCAATCCCAAAATAGTGGGTTGCTTTCATAAATCCAACTTTTTAGCAACATTGCAAAGATTGCCAGGCACTGGTGGCTTTATTTCCATTTTCACCTTTTGTAAAGTCTATTACAATGTGGATTGTCTGTCATTTCTACTACTTCCAATTACATAGCTAAACTTGAGGGGCCCATTGATCTATGTGAAACTCCAGATAAATGAATGTGCTTGTTTGCCAAACTTGCACAAGTGCATATCTCTGAATGTCACACATATGGAGTACATACGTTAAAGACCTCATCTCAGTTTCTTGCAAACTACAGCAATGGCAATCAAGAGGCATCATGAACCGGAAAGTTCTGAAGTTTTTGTTAGCCAATTTTGGTGGACACATTTCCCAAAAAAACCAAAAGAAAAATATGACATTAAAATGGGCAGAGGGAGTAAAAAATTATTGACATATTGCATTAGAAAAATATTCATTTTCAATGCTTCAAGACATTGTGCATCTCCAAATTATAGCAGCAACATCTCATCTAATTACACAAGTCGCAAGAGAGAGGCCTACTAACATGACAGCCTTCGAAGATAGTAGATACAAAAGGTTACCAAATCATAGGCAGTATCTATCTTATTGTAAAATAATGTCTGCTAAGACAAATTAATCCACAGGTAAGACCAAGTGTATATACTTATATTTACATAGACACAAAAGGAGACAGATGTCTGTGTGTGTAAATTATAGTCTCTATATGCCCAATCAAAATCTAAAGTTCCAGGAAAAACGGATTAATTGATGAGAAAAATGCTGATTATGCTCATATAAGATAACTTTCATTTTCAACTTCCAAAATCCTCTTTGTTATTAATTTCTTTTCAAGATGTATCGTTAACAGATCAACTCAAGAGTATTCATGTTGTCTAGCATGGTTCCACAACCAGAGACTGTTGCGTTATTTTTCCAGGTAAATGATGCAACGGAGAAAAATGGACATAGCAAAAACAAAGGGAAATAGAACAATTCAGTTCAAATAAAACATAACAAAAATCAAATTCACGATTTTTAGATAATGCATATAGCACGAAAACTTTTCAATGAAAAAAAATATTAATATTTAAATATCGACCAATATCTACCAACAGGTTCCCCATACTTCAGTTAGTAGTCTAAATAAAAGAAAATAGAAAATTTCACTTGAATACTGAAGTGTATATCCTCAACCTATGGACATTGTAGAATCAACAACCTTTTTAGCCAAACTCTAGGCTAAGCACAAATAAAGTGAGTCAGAGGTATTGGTTTTCAGACCTTAAATCCCACAGCACTGGGAACATGAAAAGCAGCCACTGTTCAGTGAACAACTGTGCAAATATAAATATAAAAAAGAAAACCACACTATTATCTTTTAAAGATTCCATTCATTCTTATTTATTTCAGCAATTGGACATTTATTCTCCACCATTGAATTCGTTAAATGTCCAACAGGGGACCAAAGCATGGGATCATAAATGCCTCAAGAGCACTAGGATGGCTTACGGCAATAAGTTTCAACTCCGAAACTCTAGTCTCAATTCCTCAAATTCAGTTATCTTCCATGCCAAGAAGCAATTAATCACCAAGATGTACACTTTTTTTTTGTCATTTAAGACTTATCTCCAAGCCTTCTCATACTCCACACCCCCACACCCCAATGCCACATATTCCAAAGTCCTCTATCTCAGTCCTCCCATTTTCCCCTTTTGTTTCACTTCAGTCCTCCTTCTGCCTCTTCCCGAGCCCCAACCACCTGTCAGCAACAATTTCAGTTCTACTTTCTTCTTTTTTTTTATCTCCATCTTTGTTAATCCCATCCCAAACCCAACCCCCCCCCAACTACTAAGTTCTTCTAATTTTCTTCTCTTCCCTTTCTTTTTGTCAGCTCCCTCCCTACCTTTTCTTAATCATTTTCCTTCCTCCTCCTTCATGACTCCTAGCTTTCCACAAAATTGAACTTCCCCCTCTTTTTGATACTAGACAAAGATATTTAAACACACAGCAACTGACACCACTTAACCTCAGGATGAATGTTTTCTCCAACCTAGATGACATTACAAAGCTCTACCTAAGACCTCACTTCTAAACTAAGAGTGCCATATGAGCATTCCACAAATATTCGCTATTCTTCTCTCCAACAGATAGTTACTATGGCAAACACAGAAGCAGGCAAATGTTTAGTGAAGAGTAGTCTGCACCCAAATACAGAAGTATGGACTTGTGTGGATCCATACCATGTATTGCTCACAAATAAAAGGCCTACCACTTTAACCTAGCAGACTATTCTTACCAACAGATCTCCAAACTAAATTGGAAAACACATTCCACGTTCTTATTCCAGGTACCCCTCAAGAAACCCACAACATTCTAAACGTAACACAACCCTTAACCCTATGCTCTACCTGCTTTACACAGAATTGGAAGTATGACTGTCCAAAGTTCTGATACCCTAACAAACTCAATCAACAAAAGATTGCAACACATTTAATAAGCATATCTTCATTTCGGCTTAAAAATAACTTATTATGAAGTTCAAAATTGGGACTTCTTTTATTCAATAAACACTTCATCAAAAGCCACTCCCACCAACACAGGCTCTTACTCATCATTATTTTCATATTAAACTTTCAAACGTTCTTCCCACCAATAAAAAACCCTAAATTCAAGACTTTCCAAAACAATAAAATATTGAAAACCAATCAAAAACCAGGGAAATCAACAAATGTACTTCTCCAATTGATAATCATTAAAAAGAATTGAGTTTCTTAAAACTTCGACAATACCTTGCCTTCTGGGTGAAAACACGGATGAATAATCCCGTTCATATCCAAATACAAGTTATCAAACTCTATTCCATTAGGATTTGGCTTCGAGACATCTGCAGGTACAACGTCACCGTTTGCGTCCTCCCTCGGCTCCTCCTCCACCACGTCGACGATGGACAACGGGTACCGATCGGCCAGCCACCGGTAAAACGCCGGCACTCCCATTCCTTCTTTTTTTTTTTTTTGCCGCCTCCCTTCTTCAACCACCACCTACTGTAGAAAAAGCTCCCCCCAACTCTCAGAGATTAAATTAATATAAAAGAAGTGTGTGTAGTGCGTGTGTATATGTATTTAACTATTTATACACACACAGTTTCGGTTGTGAAGGTTTTAGAGAGAATAATTCAGGAGCTGGTTTTCTATGCGTTGAAGAAAGAATAAAAAGATGATACAAATGATAGTAGAATGAGAGATGTCGGACAGGTGTCATAACTTGAAAGGACGGTAATGCCCCGATAAGTATAATGAAGTCAAAGAAATTGATTATTTTTTGAAATATAAAATGTGTTAAGATGGTTGATTATTTGAAATATTATTGAAATAATTACTGTAGCACATTTTATGGTATAATGTGTTTGAGAGAAAAAATAATTGACAAAATAAAAAAAATAAATTAAAAAGTATATTCGTGATACAAGTAAATAATTATTTGCTTCTTAAAAGAATTATTTGCAAATAATACCTATCCAAACATATCGTATAATTTGAAGTTGCATTGAAATTTATATTCTATTGTTTTCATTCTCTTTTTGAGCTAAACTTGAGTTTGGGAGCTGCAAAAACTAATTGACAGCCCAATTTGAACCCATCTTTAATAGCTCGTATTATATATAAATGGTTAACTTCGTTTTTCAAAAAATAAAAACAAAAATGGTTAACTTCTCAAGTGTGAGCTGTTAACTTAAAATTTTCAAGAATTTTTGTTAATATTTCAAAATAAACGGTTCAAATTGAAACTACCTAATGTGACTTTATTTAAGTGACAAGGACTCTATAATTGCCACTATCAATTCTAGAAACCTTCTGATAAGTGTTTAACTTGTATGATTCTAGATTGCATATACGACCTATGTATTTACAATAAAAGATAATTAAGATTTATTACTTTCACATGCAATCTTCATCCCCTTTGATCAAGTGTTTTGATTAAGTGTTCACATACAATCTTCATCCCCTTGGATTTGAACAAGTGTGTTTTGATTAAACTTTATTGTTGCTCTATCAAGTGTTTTGACTCATCTTTTCATTTTTTGCAAAACAGAAGTTTAAATTGAAAAGTACATTTGCAAAATCATAATCCAACTAAGAAGTTTAATTATATTGTAACTTGTTAGGATTTTATCTATCTTGATCCCAATGGTATCCGTTAGCACACCTGATTAACACTAAGTTATTTTGTATACGCACATTTATACATCCCTGTACTTATACATCATTTCATTTTTTTTCCCCTCATTTTAGGCAACAAGGGATGTCAGTGATTTTGGTTAAACCTCAAAGTTTACTTGGGCAATTAAGGTTTTCTCTAACCCGCCTATAGGGTTCCCTTTAGAAGTTAGAATTGGATTAGGGCCAACCCGATTGATTTTGATGTAAAAAAAAAGGAAAAACTTTAATGGGGAATTCCGTAATTTCTAAATGATTTAGAGAAAATTTTTTGAAAAGTAGTGCTTGAGAGTATAAAAAATAAAGAAGATGAAGAACATTATTTATCTATATATTGTTAAAAGCATCAAATATGAAATATGTACTACTTCACGTGTAAAATATCTATAATTTACATAGAATACGTTTACTAGATATACAACTAGAGATAAGCGTGCAAAAATTTGCACTTTCTTATCACTTTTTAGCTAAAGTGTGACCTTTTTATAAAGGTTTTCAATGAAAAACCACATTTATATCCAGAAAAGCAGAAATTGCAGTAGGGCAGGAGTGCTTTAAGCCATCTTGCCCGTACTCCAAGCTCCCTTAGAGTTGCAATTGGGCCATTTGAGTTGGAATTTAACGAATCCAAACTCGGTTCATCTAATTAGTAAGATATTCGAATTTTGGGTTATGAGTTTCGAGTTAATACATATGAAACTCGTACATAACTCACAATACATTCGAGTTTTTAGCCTAATTCGAGTTCAATCCAAACTCACTTATCACTCCTTAATTTCCTTAACATAATTACTATGAACATTAAGCAGTAAAACTACTTTAAAATCTATAACATTAAAACTACACGTAAACCATTAAAAAGTTCATTAAAAGCAGTCAACAATTTTTCAACAACAATTGTATCTAATTCTTTTAAAATACATGAAAAATAATAACAAAACATGATCAACTGCCAATTATTCATTACATGTTTAACGAACCTAATTCTTTTTTTGCTAATTACTAATCGTCTAATTATACATTACATATTTAAAAATAATACATTTATAGTTATATATATTAGGGTGCATATATATAGATTAATATAAATCAAAATATAAATATTACATATGTATATAATAATGGGTTGAACTTTAATTGGACTGGGCCAATGGAGGTCCAAGTTCGGTCCACATTTTAATTGAGTTTCAAATCTACACCCAAACTCTACCTGACTCAAAATTACAATAGCCTCGGCTCATTTTCTTTCAAACATAATGAGTCAAACTCGTGCCAGTCCAACTCTATTGATAGCCCTATGTCTTCCTTAAGCACCATCCACTTATAACATTCATTTTTGTATAAAAATGAAAATAATAAATTTTTGTTGAACAAAGTGAGAGACCCATTTAACTTGGCGAAGAAGTGCTATGTGAGGAAAAATACTACTAAATTCCTCTATCTAATTGAAGCAACAAAGATTTAGTTGAGTGGAGAACCTCAAGAGAACAACTTGTTTAAATTTCCCTAATTGAAGCAACAAAGATTTAGTTTTCCTTGTCGAACAACTTGTTTTTATAGGAGAATAACTACGTTCCAATTGAAAGTAATAAGACGTCTTTTTTTTAAACTTTTTTATTTGTGTAAGTGAGAGGGTTTGAACCAACATTTGCTTATAACCCTTTCTACCTTATTACCCAACCCAACCTTCGCCCAATAAAGCACCATTTTTTTTAAATTTTTTTAAGAGGTCTTGGGCATTTGGGAATCCAAAACCTTTTGTTTACAATCCGTCCCATCTTACCATCCAATCCAACCCTTTCCTAATAAGATAACTAGAACAAGCATATCTCTTCAACATTAAGATCATAGTGCTAGACAAAGAATGGACAAATCAGACATGAAAAAGGTGTGCACTTTTGTTTTTTGACATACCTTTGTAATCCTTAAATATATTTGGATAGTAGATTATTTAGGATAATTTTTGAAAAAAATAGTGTAGCACTTTTATGATGTGTTATATGTGAGATAATAAGGTGGTTGGAAAAAGTATTGATGATGCAAGTAAATAAATTTTGACAAATAATTCACTATCCAAACAACTTGTTCCTTAGTACAATTTCTAATTCCAATTCTTTGGTATAACTTCCAATTAGAAACTCCAGTTAAATAACATTTCTCTTACAATCTAGCTATAGACATCGATGTTTTGTCATTTTAATTTTGTTAGAAAAGGGAGGGTAAATGAATAATCTTAAATTACAAAAAATTCACCTTTTTATTTTATATTTTGGGCACCAAGTTTCAATTTTCCAATTTTGAGAAAAAAAATGAAAAGAGAATAGAATAATAATAGTGAGTTTTTAGGAAATTTCCTAGCACCTACTTTGCTATAGATCCATATTCCACCCTAATCACTCAATGATAAATCTATATTCCGCCCTAATCACTCAAGGTTGCGCACTTGATCAAAACTTGCATAATTCCAAAACCTTCACAATCAACGGATTATATCAAACTCTACTAAACCATTATAGACAAGAACCCACCCCACTTACTTATTCTTTACCACCTAACTCACTTTATCACCTCACTTCCCAATCAGCGGATTAGCTTATATGGACAGAAGAATCCACCCCACTTCTTTATCATAATCACTCAATGATTGATCATATTCTACCATAATCACTCATTTTTGAGTACTTAATCAAAGGTAGCATGATTTCAAAACCTTCCCAATCCACAGATTAGATCATAGTCTATACTTGACCCTTGCACACTAATGCACCTCACTCTCACTTATTTATCCTTCACCACCAATCAGTGGGATTAGATTGTTGTCTTCCACCCTTGCAAGAACACACTAGACCCTTACACACATTAATACACGTAGCTTTGAGAGAACTAGGAAGCTTCGAGTGTGTTGGGATAGAATATCATTCGAAATAATTATTATAATACTTTTCATGATATGATATATGTGAAATAAAAAAATATGTAATAATATAAAAAGTGAGTTGAGAAATGTATTTATGGTACAAACGAAATACTATTTATTTATTTTTTTACTTTTCTAGACCCAAGAGAACTAGAACTTTAGTCTCTGCTTTTAAACTAAGCATTCAAGAATCAAGAACGAGAACCCACCGCCTCTCGATGATCATCTCCAAATCATTATTGCTTTTCTTCATGAGCTCCTAAAATTTTCTTCAAAATCTTTCCAATGCCTTAGTTCTAGGATTCCAAGCCCTATGAAAACGAAGAAAAGCAGGGAAAAGAAAAGGGAGCAAAAACAGAGAAGAAAAACGAGGGAAAAAAGAGGACAGTAAGAAACAGCTAAGGTGCCGAGGAGCAGGGAAGTGAGCCTCCGGTACCGTTTCCTCTGCCGCCGCTGGAGCCCACCACCATTGAAGTTCACCGAGATAAGCACTGTAAGCTCTCTTTTTCTTCCTTACTTTTCGAGTTTCGGCTTCAGATTTTTGAAGCTCTTATTGCTCATTTTTCAGATAGTGTTCTTTCTTAGTTGCCTATAGCTTTATATGTGATTTCGTGATTGTGTATGCTTTTAATGTTGATTGGACTGAAAATTGTTGAGATAAAAAAAAATTCTGGGCCCTTATCTAACGAAAAATGAGGAGGAATTTCCTTCAACTTTCAGATGCGTATCAGCTGTTTGAAAAAATGCCCAAACAAAATTTGAACAAAAAGGACAAATGATCTACGTTTGTGCGTTTGAGGAAGGTGAAATTCCAGCAAGTACAATGCTTGCCGGAAGATAATCGTTAATTTTCCGGGTAGAAGGGAGACTTTTGAGAGATTTTGACGCGCGGGTTTTCTTTTTTTTTTTTTTTTTGTACTTCTTCTGTTTGTATGAATTCGAGTTTTATTATGTGAAAGAAGCAGCAGCCGTCTGCAGTTCTCATCGATTGGAGAAGACGACCCAATTCCAGAAATCGCAATTTTAGTCCTTCAATTTTTATTTTGTAATTTATTCCCCAAAGTTTTAAGACTTTGTAATTTGACCCCAAAAACCTTGCTTTTATACCTTCTATTAAGTCCTAGGAGATTAGTTCAATTAGCTTTTTCATTTGTCAAGTTGTAATTAATTTTATTTTCTTTGTTTAGAAGTGATGTGACTCATATTGGACATAGGAGCATTCCAATTTTGTAATGTTTTTCTTTTTTATTTTCCTAGTTACTTTTTATTTTTTCGTGTGAGATCGAGTGGGCCTCGAGCATGTTGTTTCATGGCTTTTCCAACGGAAAGCCTTGGAAATAGTCATTTTATTTTTTTCACTCTTTATGTGTTATGTATAATTCTTATTTGTTTAGATAATTTGTGTTAATTACTTACATGTTATGTGTTTAGCAATAGATTAACTCATTTTAACCTTAAAATTAAGAGAATAAAATTAAACTCGCAATCTGTTTTATTGAGGGTGGTGGGTGCTTGAGAGTAAAAGCTTGACCTTTCCCATTCATAAATGTAGCTTCCTAATTCATTTCTGTAATTTTAAAAGACCTGGAGTTATATAACTAAAGGGTTTTAATTTGTGTTTCGAAAATAAAATTTTTTTATGTGACTCAATATATCTAAATTCTAACAAGTGGTGATTCCAAAATTTTCAAAAATTCTTTTTTAAGATTCTACTGGGTTCAAATCCGTCGTTTTTGTCAAGTCCTATTGTAGGCTCTTTGTACTTTTCTTTTTATATTTTTGAAAAACCCCAATAACAACAAACTTATTTTCTTTTTATATTTTTGAAAAACCCCAATAACAATATTTTTCATTTTTATTTTTATTCCTATTTTAAAAAAATGGGGTGCAACACTAATAGTAGCTATCCCTAACTTAATTTGTGCAGTGAGAATTAAAGCAAATCTCAATATTATCACGCATGAAGAGAAATATCTTTTGACGTAAAATTTTTCTCTAGCGTAAATAAATCGCTTGTTCTAACTAAATCAAAATGGCTCTATAGCTTAACCTATTAAATAAGAAATATCACCAAATCAAATTATATAGGAAAATATTATTTACACTCCCATTACTTCAGTTTCATCTTGATGAGGCCATATTATTCCTGTCCTAATTTCTTTTCATATCCTATCTTGTGTTCACATGCAAGGAAGTTAGATACAATTGTTATATGTGTCCAAAAGGTAAAAAAAGAAAAATTAACTTTTACTTCTCTTTTTCTAAATCTATATAACTATTTTTAATTTATTTTTTATATTCTTATTTCAATTTCAATTTTGCAAATTTTTTATTACAATTGAGGTTCTATTGCATTATCTGGATACTAGATGCTGTTATAATATTGTTGAAACATACTACTCCCTCCATCCCATATATTTAGTTTGTTTGAGGATACGTATTTTTTATGTATAATACATTCCACCAAAGAGTTTTTCCTTTTGTTTCACTTTTGCCCTTAATTATGTGTCGGTCAAAGTAAAAAGTAGAAAGCAATTCCATTACATTTGTCTTTATACATCATTAATGAAGGGCATAACGGAAATTTCAAAGTATAAAGTAGTTAGAAATGTCAAATATGACAAATATTTTGGGACAGCCAAAAAAGGAAAGTATGACACTTTTAAGGAAAGTTTCACTCCCTCTATGGTGGTTATATGAGCTATTCTTAGTAGATTTTTTGAAGTATTAGTGTCTTATATATGAGACATTGTAGTTATACTCAGTTTTGGTTATCTTTGATGTTTAGGATTTATTTATTTATTTTGGGTTTGAGTTTGGAATTTGCTCATATTACATTGTTAGATTGATCGTGAAGTTTTGTAGAAAAAAAATAATACATATTAGTGACAATTTTAAATTAATCATTTTAATGTGTAATGGAATGATTAATTGGTTTTAGAATGTAAGAGAAAATCTAATAAAGTTAACTCATAGGCAAAGAGATGAAATTAGGGAGGGGGTAATATGGTCTCCTCAAAATAAAATAGGATAGTGGGAGTGCAAATAATATATGAGGAATGTAAATAACATTACCCATTATATATTACATTAAGATTTTGACATTACTAGCTTGCCACTATAACCGACTATTCATTCCGTCCTAAATTCATAATCATACACAAAAATACACCTAAATTTTTGCAAATGAGCACTAAAGAATAATTTGTGAATTTCATTCAGAGTGCAAACTCATTCTCTTGATTTACAACCATTCACTAGCAATTTTTTACTCAAAACTTTCAATACTTACATCCGCTTATTAGAATTTTTTTGTTATCTTTTAAATCTTTTAATCTAGTTTGATTGTTAGATAAAAGGTCGTTTTCTTATTGCTAGTGGCATTAGCCTATTGTACCAAGGGGTTTGATCCCATTCCCAAGGACATCGATTTTATCTTCTTTGGAAGAGGCTTAGTCAACATACACAATAATGATGGTGCCATCAATCAATATTTGTTTATTTTTTGGGGATAGAATTCAATATTTTTTTTAGTGTATTCATATTTTAGACTTATATATTGAATTTATCATTATAAACTTTGTTCAATGCTCTAAACATAATAGCTTCCCTATGGAATGCAAAGAACGGGTTGTACCTACCACGACTTGATATCAAAAAATAAAGGCCTTCTATCATTCTACTTCATTCGGAGCTGCAAGTTAAGCTGCTATAAGTTTACCTTCCATGGTAGAATGAGCAACGAAAAAGATTCCATTTAAGAACTTCTCTTTCCCTTTATGTAGGCCTGATACCTCGTTTTCAAAAAAAAAAAAAAAAGGATTTGTAATTTGATTTAAATCAGTTAAAGTCCAATTTTCTTATAATTGACTTTTTCATATATTTCATTTGGTATCCTTCTTTAGAAAGGCGATCACTAAAGTACAATTTAAAAAGATCGAATTCCCGATCCATGGAAATAGAATGAGTACATTAACATTTTTATAATTTGAAAGGAAAAAATCAATGGAGATAGAACTTCAGTTCCTCTCAATTCCATCCATCAAGATTTAAAAGAAAATAATATCACTGGAATGGACTAGGGGCAGGTACATTGGAATTTTGTTACATTCACAAATTATAGATGAAAAAAAGTACAATAACTGTACCTGATTGTACCTAACTCAACCATATTTGTCCCCCACCCCCTACCCCGTAAAATTGGGTCATGTATTTCATACTTTTAGATCCGGTCCAACTCACCCAAAAAAAAAAAATTATGCTGTTTGTATTTATTTGGAAGAATTGTGAGGAGAGGGATGAGTTGAGTGGTATTGGGAAGGAATATAAGTGAAAAGTGTCGAGTTCAAAACATACCACTCACGCCAAAAAAAAAAAACTGGAAGAATTGAAAATAAACAAGTAGGAGGTATCTAAAATTTTGGAAACTCCAAGCCCATAAAATAGTTTTGATGGACCCAAATTGATAATCAATCACAAACCCATAGAAAAATATTCAAGGTAAATGATCAAAGAGGCAAGGGAATTTTTTTATCGATCAAGCGAGACTCTTGACTACACACAATGAAAAGTACGACGGAAATTACTACTTACAAAAAGTCAAAACACAAATAGAGATGCCACTGATTTGTACTACTTCGACTCATGTATTGCGACTCTCGGTCCTTACACACACACACACACATACAACACGGATACAGGGCCGTCCTTGAACGATCCCCTCACAAACACAACCGTGAGGACTAGAAATAACCACGTCGACTAGTTTTGGGAAGGTGAAAAAATGACGTCACATAAATTAGTAATGGAAAAAAAATTTGACGCTTCTGACAGACCTCGTCATGAAGCATTAGCTCCGTTCCACAAAATCCCGCTCAAATGAATCATCAAACAAAAAGTTCATTTGCTTTCCCTCCACAATAATTGCCAATTTTCATTCATCCATAACACCAGAAAATGGAAGCAAACAGAGAATATAAGAAAGTGGCTGGAGGCAAAATAAGAAAGTGGTTGAAGGCAGACTAGGTATAAGGGAAAGCAGGGAAAATACAATTGCACTAAGGTATATTACAGCAAGAAAAAGGAAGAAGTAGCGACAGAAGAGCAGAGTTTCGCATTCGGAGAAGAGATAAAGCAGGAAACATCCAGGTAATAAAACAATAATGGTATTACATAACTTTTGAAATTTGACAAGGTCATGAAGCGATGTGAGTAGTTGTCATTGTTGGACAATGTTGTGAATGAATAGGTCAATTGATTTTTAATGGTTTTGATGGAACAGACTGTCCACTAGTCTCAAGTAGAAGAATGTAGGTATTTTGGTGACCAACATAGGGGAGGATAGGTGAGGAAAATTTAGTGCGCCAAGTGTTTGTAAAATCGTGTGAATGGGTTGGAAAATTGCTTGGGTAATAATATAACAAGGGTACTGGTTGTTTTATGAATTTCTTATAGATTTTGTTGATTAGTAGTGCTTGCGTGCAGATTATACTTTATGTGTGGTTTGTACATACTATTCATGGCAACATACAAAGCGAAAGAAAAAGCATTACAAAGATAATTTCCTTAAAAATGCCTCTTACAGCATGTTATATAAGAGACATTTCACATGAATAAATAATGACGCGGAGTAAAATTATTATGCAGAATAAAATAACATGACACTTAGATTGGTAGACGCATTGCAGAGAAAAAAGTTATAAGTTTTTTTAGCTAGTAGGGTTGGTCACCATGTTGAATAACTGTTACATGCAGTTAGTCAACAGTTACAGTAGAAGAATTGATATGTAATATTGCGTGAGCATACTGTAAAATTGCTACCTATTATTTGTTAGTTAACTTGTATTTGCATAATCACAGGATAAATAGAAGAAGGGGTTAATTGTTTGAAACTTGATAGTTAGGGCAGCAGACGACAATCTGAACAGGGTAGGTAGAATGAATAACATAGTTTTTAACTTGGCACACTCAATGTGGAAAAAGGTTACAAGTTTTACTTTGCTAGTGTGCGTGGACATGAAGTTGAATAACTGTAACATACAGTGAGTTAGCAATTACAATATAAGAACTGCTTTGTAAAATTTCGTGAATATAACTGTGAAATTGATACCTCCTGATTGTTACATTAACTCATATTTATAGAGTAGGACAAGAAATAGAAGAAGAAGTTAATTCCATCAAACTTGATAAATGAGTGAGAGTAGATTGTAAGTGGAATTGGTGAGACAGAATAATTAACCTACTGTTAATTTTGACAAACAGAATGTGAAAAATAAGTTACAAGTTTTCATAACTATTGTTACTAAGATTTGAAAGTGATATATTATTTATGTTAGTACTTTGTAATGCATTAAGAATAAATGGGGAAAGCATAATGGAACTGAAGTGCAATTGTCTGTGTAAAACTTCAATTTAAATGGACAGATACTCTGAAAGGGATGCATTGGAGATTAAGAATCTTGGGGCTTATGGAAAAGGAAAGTTGGTAACATGTTATTTATTGTTTACCTCATTCCATATAAAAAGTATTGGTGTATGTATTACGTGGCTTTGTTATTGAAATGGTTGGTTTAATTTGATGTTAAAGGTTGGACGACATGATCCGGACGAGAATAATATGGTGCGTGGCGTACTGAATTATCCCTGATTTGGTAGGGATGATGATGAATAGCGGGCATGCCGATATCGGTATAAATGGGCCTGTTCCATGGTTAACGAAATTTATTGTTTGGTTTGACGTAATTACTGCATATTATTGTCAACATTATGGGTCATTGATAGGTCTATCAACTTGTAACTACATACAGTTACAGTTAATATATGAAACCAATCCCAATATTGCATTGAACAAATAAGTTATCTTGAATTAAATCACATGCATGTGAATACATAAATGTAGTGATCTTTTGGATAATCATATTATAAATAAATGAAAATTCTCACTGATATCTTCAATATATCATAAATCCCGACTATTCGCATCCCCCATGTCTTGCCTTTCGCCATCCAAACTTATCCCAGTAGTACTCGAGATATCGATTTATTATAAAGGTATCACTCCTTGGTACTCGGGTACAAGAATCAAAAAATATGATCATTTTCCACCCGAGTTAGCTACGCTCAAGAGAAAATCAACCACTTTTGAGATTCCTACCCAACATACATATCTAAGATCCCCAACCATAGACATTTGTTTCACACTTAACAAGCCAATCCCTACAGTCCGAGAACCTTCTCCCGGCACGAGCTCGATAGGAGCTCTGATACCATCTGTGACGGCCCCACCTCCTCCTAAGGCGTACCAAACCTGAAATTATCAGGTTGATTCCTGACACACATATATATCATGGCCTGACTACTACTAGTACCAGTACAACTTGAAATTGAACTCTACTTCGCCCCACCATATTAACCAAACAAAATTCCTAGTACTAGAAACTAGTAGCACTAGCTTGGTTTAATAATTTCCTACAAGTTTTCTCAAAAACTAGTGGAACAGAAAAAGGATTGAAAAAAACAAAAAAACAAAAAAAAATCGGAATTCTTTTCCCGCGAACTTCAACTAACTTCATATAAAAGACCAAATGTCCATTCAATTCCCAAGTATTGATAAACCACAAAGACAACAATCCATCTAAAAACGTCAAAAAACTTTTTGTGGATACAATCTTCTCCCGTTCGTGGATACAATCTTCTTCATCTTCTTTTTGTCTTCATACTTTCTTTGGATACAGTCAAAAAACTTTTTGTGGATACAATCTTCTCCCGTTTGTGGATACAATCTTCTTCATCATCTTTTTGTCTTCATACTTTCTTTTTGTTATTTTCTTTGGTCTTCTTTCTTTCAAAGGCACAATATCCACTAGCAAATGTATATTATATTTGTAAGCATGCATTAGAAAAGTCAAATTCATCATCTCAAGGACTCATAAGAGACCGACGGCATGTGGAGACTGGAGACTTTAGAGCAGGTGTTGCTATAAATTTCAAGATTTGTTTATGGCATTGGGAAAATATTCTGCTCCATTGGGTTTTTCCGCATAAAGGGGGCTCTTGGATTATTGACGTTAATAGCAGATACAGATTCAAAACCTGAGGCAAGTTTATCTTTCATTCAGTTTTGCTTATTTATTTTGTATCTGGAGAAGTTAGTAATGATATGTTGCTGTTATCTATAGAATCCCAAGTTTGCAATGAGCTGTTATATTGGTTCATCTACAAACTTGATTTTAACTAGTAAGAACCAAAGGATGAACACTTTTCTCTTATACTGTGTTCTCAATGTAGTGTCATTTCCTTGCAATTTTCTACTTTGTGGATTGTGAATTGGATTTAGGTGTTCTATTCCTTCAATTTAAAAGTACTTGAGCTTTTGTTTTTTAAATTAAAGTCTGGTTGGAATGTTGTGAAATGCGGTAAAGTTTCCCTTGTGTAATTTTAAAGAAAAATGTCTTACTTTAGGTATTAAATCTTCATTATATTCAAACTTTGCTGACTTTCTTGATTTCATTATTTTGGGCTTGGGAGAGTTGGGAGGGGGTAGGCAAATTTTTCTTTGAGAAAATATTCTCAACTAGCTTATTTCTTTACAATTCTTGCATTTTCTACTACACAGGTAGGTTTCCCTTTAATTCTGTTTGGTTTTGATTTTCACTCCCAATTCTGCAAATCACATTCGAGAGGTAAGCCTTAGGAGGACTATTTTGTAAGATAAATGCTGCTCCTTGGTTTGGCCTTAATATTTTGGCCTCTGAAAACTGGACACTGTAGGTGTTGGCACCTGGGATCCTCGACGATATATTTTTTATGCCAATTCAATGTCACCACTAATATTTCGTTGAGTGTCTTACTCTTATTTGCACTTTAATTTTTTAATAATTCAAATTAATTTGATTTAACACAAATTTTTTCTACCCTTTAAACATTTTAACCAAAATTAACCGACCGGTCTAATTCATATACCAATACTTTCATCAATGATTGCCTTCAAACTCTCCAATCCACTCCGATGAGGTCTACACTTCAATGTCGTCGTCCTTTTGATTCCTCCACCAGCTTCGCCATTCCACGTGGCATCATATTCACTGCCGATTGCCTCACCGTCAAAGCCCTTCTCTTTCGAGCTCTCCACTGGAGGCAATTTCATGTACTTCATGGCTGAGTTCTAGAAGGGGAAGAAGATTACGATAGCAAAAGGGCTTAATTTCTGCCTTTCCAATGTAATTTTGGCTTTGCCCTTCTACTTGTGGACTGGTCCTAGTATTCACCAAACGTTCTTCCTCACGACAACGCCGTCTACAGAGCTCTCCTTTGCTCCAACTCTGGCCTCTGTAACTTTTCCTATTGCTGATTTCCTTCCCAGGTTCTTGTTCATTCTTTTCTGCCATTTTCCCCACTTTTTTATGTGCCCATTTTCTTGCAGATGACCCTTTCGGCGATCCAAAGGTTGTAAATTTACAATCCAATGCCAATCCAAAGTTTCTATCAAGTTTACATAAAAATTGAATCTTCAATGTTATAATCGAACCTGAAATATCTGAAACTGGTGGGCCTCCACTAATTCTTCTGACGCTATGAAGAAGAAAGAGAGGGAGAAGCTTTTACTGCTTTCCCTTTGGCCTCCGTTTGGCCTTTGCCCTTCTCTCTCGGAAATGGAGTGGCGGTAAGCAAATGTCAGAGGGGACTCGCAGACGTCGGCGTTTAGTGACTCTTTTGGATTATATTCCAGTGCCCAAGATTTTGTACATCATCGGCCTTTGCCCCTCGGAAGTTTCTAACCTTGATGGAAATGATGAGAAGTTTTATAGGACTTTTTCTGTAGCAATTTGCTTGGAACTTGTGTTTGTGGTCCACGTACTTTTCTGTTTGTGGAATGCTGCAACAGAGGCCCATAAATTAATGGTGTGATTAACACAAAATAGTGCAGATAAATTACCTAGAATTGTTGATGTTCGCTCCGGCAACCGTTCTTGACTCTAATATAGTGTAGAATCTCGTTTAGGTTTGGAGGCAATTTTGTTTAGGATTTTCTGTGGTTAACTCAAAAGTATTGGTATATGAATTAGACCGGTCAGTTAATTTTGGTTCAAAGGTTTAAAGGGTAGAGAAAACTTGTGTTAAACCAAACCAATTTGAATTATTAGAAAATTAAAGTGCACATAATAATAGGACACTTGGCGCAATATTAGTGGTGGCATTGGATTGGTATAGAAAATATGTCACCGAGGATCTCAAGTGGGGTGTTGGAGAGGCAGCTATGAAGAAGTGGGTTTGTAATTCTATCTTGGACTAGTTGGGTTTAGCAACTCAAGAGGGATAACTTTGAGTGGAAGCCATTAAAGAAACCTTAGGCTGAGCTTTGCTTTGATTGATTTGATATGTTCTTGTTGACATCCATAGTCACTGTTCTAAATCTATGCTTGATTGATTTCCTGAAGTTTTTTTGGTTTTCTTGATGACAGATCATTTACAGATTATTGAAGCTGATATAGATTGTCAGTCCTGTGAAAAAGGCAAAGGGTCTCCTGGAAATCTCCCTTGTGATTTGGTATGTGTTATTCTTGGCTTTTCTCAGAAACGGAATGGTCTAACAAATTATTTTGCATTAAGGTTGCATGTTTTACATCTGTGGCTTATATTGAAACTTATCAATGACTTGGGACTTTTTATTTACCTTCTCAGTTAAATGAGTCGCATCTAATTTGCATGTGTAGCTGCACACATCTGCACTGAACTTAACTTTTTGGTGGCATCATCGTCATTTTTCTGGGAATATTTTTTTTAGATGTTTTTCTTTCTAGTTTTGCAATATTTACATACTTTTGCATCTAGTTTTGCAATATGTAATACATACTTTTGCATCTCTGAAAGCTAATTTTACTCTCTTCTTTGTAATTACTTTATTTTTCTTATCTTTGTGCAATATTTTCTTATCTCTGTGCAGTGACTCCTGACTTATCAATGGAAGAGAAGTGTGGAATTGCGAATGACATCACTGAAGTAATTATTTTTCTTGTAAACCTTTTGTTATTGATTGGTTATTTTCTGAAGGCAGGTAAGAAAGCATGATTGTTGTTTGCTATATTTACTGTTTACAGCTCATAGGGAATACCCCAATGGTATATCTCAAGAATGTTGTGGATGGTTGTGCTGCACGTATTGCTGCCAAATTGGAGGCTATGAATCCCTGCTCAAGTGTAAAAGACAGGTAAAAATGTTCCACTTATAACCGGTTCTTCTTCTGAAAAATTTTTCTCACTGTATTGTCCCAGTGGTTCCACGTCTTGTTTCCTGCATGCTGAGTACAGATGTCAATAGACCAAGTGAACATGTTATATCTCTCCTTACCTAAATGTAGGATCGCATACAGTATGATAAAAGATGCAGAAGAGAAGGGTCTAATTACCCCTGGCAAGGTTAGTTAAGTTTTTCCTACTCTCTTCTTTTAAGTTCACGTTTTACTTCTTGAAGACCATGAGTATAAATTTGCACTTGTATCCATCTTTATACTTTTCCACCAAAATTATATACTTTGTATGATGGATCTTTAAAAGATGAAACAATTACTGCAGAAGCTTTTTGTTTGTATTGTGTTACTGATGACAAAAAATTGGCCCTCTTTTCAAGAAAAACTACAAAGGTTATGGGCCCCATTTTTGGTCGTCCAACTTCACTAAAATTTTGTACTAACGATGTACTCTTGGTTTTGGATATGGACATTTGGTGGCTGAAGACGGTCCTTCTCGAGTTTACCAGCGGTAATACTGGCATTGGTCTTGCATTCATTGCAGCAACTAGGGGCTACAAACTTATCACAGTTATGCCACACACGCAAAGTCTCGAAAGAAGGATTATCCTCCGTGCTTTTGGAGCTGAGGTATTCATCACCGATGGAGCAAAAGGTATTGATGGACTTGTCAAGAAAGCCGAGGAAATAATGGAGGCAACACCAAATTGTTTTTTTCTCAAGCAATTTGAGAACCGTGCTAATCCAAAGGTACATTACATCCAGATAAAGTGCATACAGATGATCGCAACATGCCACTTAGCATTTCTCAATGTGTAGATACACTACGAAACCACTGGACCAGAGATATGGAAAAACACTGGAGGGAAAGTTGACGCCCTGGTTGCAGGGATTGGAACAGGGGGTACACTTACTGGTGCCGGAAAGTTTCTTAAGGAGAAAAATGCGGACATCAAAGTCAGATTCTTCTTCTTACTATTCTGATGCCCCTTTTGTCTATTTAATTATTCATTGTCGTTATTGTCTTGAGTAAACTATTGTTGACAGGTATATGGAATTGAACCTGCTGAAAGTGCAATACTGAGTGGAGAAAAACCAGGTGATTATATTCTAGATCTAGCTTTTCTCATCTTTTATGGTCTTTATTATGTTCAAGATTGTTTGTTCTTAGGCTTGTTTTACTGTTAGGTTAGGTGCATAATACACTCGAATAAATGACTTGGTGATAACATGTCCTTGTCGATCAAAGCCTCTCTACTAGATCACATTTCTCACTCTTTTTACCTATAATTAAATATAATCTTGTTATACAATTTGTTAATTGTGAAATGTCTCATTTTGCATCTAGTTCATAACTTTTTGATTATCCTAAGGCTGCTTGACAAATATTAGTTTTATCTCAAATTAGTGTCTTGAATGTGTTTTAGAGTCCATGACTTGGATTTGAAAACTCATAAGCCCTCATGAGGTTCTCATCTCTTAAACTCAATTACAAGTATAATTGCAGACTATATATGGAAGTCGATAGTTCCCTTAAATTGAATTTTCCTTATGAGAATTGGAAAAAAATAGGCTGCAGTTTTCATATTTTTTGAGTCACATAAAATGAGAAATTTTTAATCTTAGTTCTTGAGCCACTTAATAGTAACAAGTTAATTTCATGATTGAATATGTATGTTTTTCATTCAAAGTTGCTCATCACTGAGAAAAACCTTTAATGATACCATATTTCATATACAGCGAGTTTTGAATTGTTTTCTACTGTCATTTTTGTTGTTCTGGAAGTAGGATTCTGAACCATTTTGATTTTTCTGCTATTCTGGCTTTATTTTCAAGTAGATCTGGTTAAAAGCTCATATTGATTTGATGGCTATGGCCTCGAGCTGTTCAAGCATACAATTGTATGGACCTAATTATTACAAAATTTAGGGGTAAAAATGAAAGAAAAATAATGTTTAGAGACCTATTTAAAATTAAAGTAGGGACCTAATTGAAAGGAACTAAAAGTTTTAGGGCCAGATTACAAATACGTAAAAGTATATGGACTGATCGGCCAATTCGTTTCTGGTCTTGCTAACCTAACAGGCCATTTGGGCCAATTTGGCCTTTTGTCTGGGTCAGAAGCTCCCTAAGCCCAATAAAAAATCCAAGGAAAATGTACTGTCCGATCCATAATCTTACCCCAAACAAACCCAACCAAAAGGGTAGGCTTTTACCTCCTAAGCCCAAGCCAAAAACCCAAATAAATAAATTAAAGCCTATTTGTAAAACCCAGCCAAAATGAACCAGACTTGTCTACCAAAACCCAACCAAATCAAACCACAACCCAAATCACTAACTATTTCACCAAAACCCAATAAGATAATAAATCCACTAAAACAAATTAAGGTATAATTACCCCAAATCACAGCAATAACATGCTTAGAAATGCACTTAAGATATGGAACAGAGGATGAAAACTCAATAGAGGCGTGACTGGTTCAATTACATAAGATTTTGGGCCATAGTGTAATTAGGAAAAAGTCCGGGAAAGCAATATATAATAGAAAATTAAAAAATACAGTAAAAATTTCATAAAAAATCTCATTTTTTATGCATTTTGATTTTTTGAGTTTGTTAAATTTTGTGTATTACTCAATTAATAGTTATTGGATTTTAACGAAACAAAAAAGAACTAAAATATGATGTTTATGAAGGAGAAATAGTAATATAATAAAAAGTGGGACAAAGAATGGCGCAGGGTGTGGGACAGAATTTTTGGAAAAAACACATGCAGAGGTTCGAGGCTTTCTTCTTCAACATTCTTCCTTCTGCAACTTTCTTTTCATTTCAACAAACACAGCTAATGCCCCCGAACCCAACATCAAAAACTTGGTTTTGTCAACCAGATCATGCAACGATATTATCAGTACTCAATCTTACTTGGTTCATGTCAAGATTACACCAAAATCAAAACCCTAGGAACACATCAAAGAGGGGACAACAAGAACAACAGTAGCCGACTTTTTGACAGGTTTAGTAAGGATCTGAACTCGTATAAAAGGAAAGGAACAAATAAATTTACCTCCTAATGTTCTATGATGCTGAATGAACGTGGAATGGTTGAAGAAAATGCGTCTGAAAGCGAGATTTTGCACCACCCAACTCCTACTGATGGGTCCAAGAGCTGGTGACGGGCAGTTTTTGAGCCGAAATTTGGGTCACCTAGAGGCAATATCTCGGGCAACTTTCTAAATGGAATCTCTTCTATGGTATGCCGGGATAGTGCAGATAAAAAGAAAACACCCAAAAGGGCAAAAATGAGATCAGATTTTGATCACCAAGTGAGCCAAACGATCAACCCTGGCTCATGTTCTTCCTCCAAAAAAATTTCTGCATTTTTTCTTCCTTTTTCTTTCTTTTTTTATCTCTCTTTTCTCTCTCTATCTACTCTTCCGCCGTCTCCCTCCTCTCTCTGCATTTAGGGCTGCGTTTGAATGCATTTATAGGAGACCAAGGTTGCTAAACCCTTATCTCAAGGGTTCATGTGCAAACTGATATTTGTTGGAGGTTTTGGAGCCCTTAGATCCATTTCTCTCTAGGTGTTTCATGATAAATCTCAAGGACTGAGGTGGCAAACGGTTGAAAAAAAAAAGAAAACAACAAAATGAGTGGAATGGGAGGCCAAAAATGGCCTCTGCAATTTTGCTTCTGTACTGTCCATGGCTTCTGGTACGAAGCCATGGTTGATGATTGCGCGCGTGCATTGAAGCAGCAAATTTTTTTTTTTAAAAAAATTGATCTTTTCTTTCTTCCCCCTTTTTTTTTGTTTTTCTTTCTTTTTTTTTTCCTTTTCTTTTTCTGATTTTTCTAAAGAAATAGAAATGAAACAAAAAATTAATAAAAATAAAAATTTAACTAAAATGAACAAAATAAAAATAAAATGAAGGAAAACAAGAAAAGAAAAAAATAAAATAAAATAGTGAAATTTTGGTATCTACAGGCTGGTAATGATCATATCACCCAGAACACAGAATAGATAAAGGGAGGGCAACCTTAACTTTGTGCTGCATCTTTTTCTTACACACCTGATTGATCTTGGATCTAACTTGGAACAGTTTTTTATTCTTAACGTCCTGTTACTTGATGCTCGATAAAGAGTTGGTTTAATATGCATAAAATCATTAACGGATGTCTAGAGTACTAATAAAGGCTACTCAAGCACCTAGTGAAAAGCTTTTTGTTTCACTATCTCTTCTTCCTATGATATGTGCCTGTTGATCTTTCTACATTTCACATCACTTCTTCAAGTGCTTCCTTTTGTTGTGTTGTAATCACACAATATAAGTGTTCTGTTTTGATGAATTGATGTTTACCTTTTTTATTGGTAATGCTGCTTTATCCTACTTTTCATTCTTTTTGGTTCTGATAATATTGTAAATAACAATTGTTGATTTGCAATGAGTCTAATGGAGCTCTTATCCTATTTTTGAGATAACTCATGTTTACCAGTTACAAATTTTTTGTATTGATCTGAAAGGTCCTCATAAAATTCAAGGAATTGGTACTGGCACCATCCCTCCAGTTTTAGACATTAATATACTTGATGAAGTTATTCAAGTAAGTAATTTGTATCTTTTTGTATCTCATGTTCGTGAAAGAAAATCATGCATGAAAGTGAAATAGAATCATGTATGAAATTTTATTTACTATATCCTTTCATCCATTTGTATTTTTGTCACAAAAGCACATTATACTTGCACTTTAGGAAGAAAAAGAAATGTGCATAAAACAGTCTAATGAAGATGGATAGTAAAGAGAAGACTTCCTTATCCAGATCTTGCTTTTTTATTCTAATGTATATCCTTGCTTTTTTTGTTTGTTTAATGGGAGTAGAGTGTAGAAAATGCTTTAGAAGTCATTATAAGTCTTTTCGTACAAATTCTCCTTGTTCAGTATTTTTTGATCTTTTAGGCTCATTAAATCGTTGTTTAGCAGAAATTAGAGCTTTTTCAAATTGATTCTTGATATTTTATGCACTAATGTAGTAAAATTTGGATGTTCTAGTTCTATATATAGAAAACAAGAATAAAATATCTGAAGATTGTGCTTAAAGAAAGCTTTTGAGCCATGTCTGTAACGCATTGGCCTCAAGTATGAACTATTCTGTGTAGTTAATCTGCTCAAATGATTCTCCTTACAGTTTACCTTGTTTTGGAGTGCATCAAAAGCATTTTTAAGTATTTATTTTGGACTCATGAAACTGGTTGAATGACCATGCTATCCAGAATGGCTTTGATGAGTCATACCTTTGATCAAGTTCCTGGTTCATCCAGAATGAGTGTGGAAATCCCCCACTATCTGCTATCTTTTGTATATTGAAAAAGTTAGATTATATTGTTAGTTCCTTTTTGAGTTCAACATTTACCTAGACATTCGGCCCTTCTGACAAGATTCCGTGTCAGCTTTTGCTTTAAACTTTTGGTGCCATAGAATGAGAACATATGCTCAAATTCTGTTTGCTTTTCTGGTTTTTCTTTTACTATTTACATATATTGGCCCCTTGAAGGATCTTACATCAGTTCATCAAGTCTTGCTTATTTTTATCATGTATAATCAAGTTGATGTTCTCCAACAGCATTTATTCTCACTTGGTAGGCACATGCTATAACAGGACAAAAAGTCTAGAACCAACATAAAAGAAGACATCTTATATAGGACTAGTACAGAGCATTTTTGGCCCCCTAAATATTTTTCCTTAAGTTCTAGCAAAGCTTCTCCTTTTCATTGTAGAAGTTTTGCTTCAATGAATGGCATCATCTCTTTTGGTTATTTCAGTACATTGGTTCTAAATTTATCTTGTTGATGCTTTTCTTGAAAAGTATTTACTTAAGTCATTATCTGTTGAAAGACAGTCTTTGTTTTCAAAAGCTTAAAAATGCATTGGTGTGTCCAAGTAAAAAGTAGTCTAGGAAATATGTTTGCTAGGTGCATATGCTGGGATATTTTAGAGGCACATAAACATTTTCATTCCCATTTCCATTTAATGATTTCCTGTAACATAACTTTCTATTTGATGTCATATTTTGCTTCTTCTTTTCTCTTGGCCACTTTTAGATATCAAGTGATGAAGCTATTGAAACTTCAAAACTTCTTGCACTCAAGGAAGGTTTGCTGGTAAGTTGAAAGTTTTGAAGGCATCTCTAACCCTTCCTTCTCTGACCAACCACTACTGACATGTTTTTGCTTCAATATATATCACGTTGACTCTCGGGTTTGTAGGTGGGCATTTCTTCAGGTGCTGCTGCAGCTGCTGCGATAAAGTTAGGAAGAAGGCCTGAATATGCTGGAAAACTCATAGTAGTAAGTTGAACTTTTTCTTAGCTGATGCAGATGTTGCAGTTAATTTTTAACTGCTCAACTTCTTGAAAAGCTTTCCAAGTCAGATATCAATTATTACCCTGGTCATTCTATCGACTGCTTGAACACCCTTATGTCACAAAAATTAAGTTTCTAGTTTTCCTTGTTCTCCTGTTTTGGGTCTCATGACCAATCCATTATACTAAGGATACTTCATTTCGTTTTCCTAACGGCTGCCCATGCCTAAGATACTTAATTGTGATTCAAGCTGGAATTTTCACTTTAGGTAAATCTGCAACAATATTATGGATTTTTTTCCTTTATTATTTTTTTGGGGCGATAGGCTGAAAACTGTGGACAAGCTACAGATCTCTTGTTTCATTGACATGTTTTTTGAAATGTGATATCACCTATCAGTTCATGATTAGGTTATGTCTTTGTTATTAGAGGGTTGCGCCCATCTACTTATTTCTCTTGCTTTCAAGATTTTATTTTTCTGTGCTTCCTATTGTTAAAGCAGACAGGATATGTCAAAAAGGCAAGTGAAGAACAGCAGAATTACAGCCAAGGCCTAAACAGATATATGATGTTTTGGCTTTGGGCATAAACTTGAGCATGTATGGATTTCCAATGTCATCTGTCAACCCCAAAACCCCTATTAGATCCAATTCTCTCAGATACCTTCAAATGCTCCAAGCTATATCCATAAAAGAGTTGCAAATATATCAATCCTTTTACTTCTGTTTCAAATCCAGGTACGACAAGGAACACAAGATCCTTTAAGTCAGACTGAAGTGAGCGTTAGCAATCAAAGCAGTGATCAGAAATTGAGAAAAAAATTCCAAATAAAAAGACCAACAAGTTTTCCCTTTGGCTTGTATTCTGTTGCCCCTTAAAGGCTTTCACATTATGCTGGAAATTATAATCCACTTTAAGTTTGCTAAAGTGTATCCCACATTGAAAGTTTTATATTTTTCATGTAAACTGCAGATACAACCTATTTCAGGCATTACTCGGGTTGCGGTCCTTGACATTTTAGATTAGTCTAGGCAGCCTATCATAATAGTAGGCATTTTCTTGTTCTATACAGATGAATCTGACTTCCATCAGTTCCCCTTTTAATGAGATCTGTTTGTTCTTTCTTTTTAGGTAATCTTTCCCAGTGCTGGGGAGCGTTATATCTCTACAGAACTGTTTGACTCATTGCGGATAGAAGCAGCAAACCTGAATTTCGACTAAGTGCTCCACACTCGCACCTGCATTTTCAGAAACAGTTCACAGGACATTTGAGTGGTTTAAGGTGGCATTGTGATATATCTTTTTATTTACCTTTTTTGAAGCTCAGCCACAACTGTAGCTGTTGAGTACTTCTTTGATTAGTGGAAAGTGGCCTCTGCATACATGATATAGACACAGTTCCTCTTGTTGCAGAATTCTCTTCCACCTAGTTTGTCCTTTGTCATCATACTTTTGTGTTGTATTCTGAAGTTTTCCCCGAAGCCCTGTTCAACACCACTTTTGTTGAATATGTTAAATGACTTGCAAGCATCTTGATTAGTAATATTACTTGCTACTTGGTTATAAAGTTTGAGTCCTCTACAAATTTGACTGGAGATCGACACTTTCTCGCTCATATACTGCTTGTTTTGACATGATAATGACATTACCAGATATGGAAAAGATTATGTTGAAATGCTGGCTTTTTGTTCAAGTATATTCAAGGGGAATGGGGAATTTGTGTTGCCAATACAACTGCAACGAGACTTGAGGCTTGATTGTGGAATATTTGGCAGATACATGGAGGAAAGGTGGTTGTAACACTTAAGCAACCCTTGCTCTCAAGCTCAAGAGGTCTTATTGTGAATGGAACTTACATCCTTAATTGGTTTGATAATTTTGGACACATTCACATAACGCAGCCTGTTTAGGGTTTGAAAATTCAAGCCCTTTTTATCTTTATCCTCAATCAAAAGAATGGGAATGACGAACGGGTATGCGAAAAATCGAATTCTTATTTTAAAAATGAGAAAGAAAGAATTTTAATCACTTTGCCAAATTTAATTCTAGATTTGCGATGTATGGTGTATGTACCGATTATGCTAAAATATTAGATTTTTTTTTTCTTCTTTTTTTTTCAATAGGATAAGAAATTATCCTATTCATTGCAAATTACATATTCAACATTCTTACATGTCAACCCCCCTTTTATGCCCCCCTTCTAAGTACTAACTAAAGAACAGGCATACCACCAAGCCAGGAATATCTGGACGTTGGGGGAAGGGGACAAAATTGACATGGACGAGAATAATTGTTATGCTTGAATATGAGGGTCTTTTCATAAATATGCAAAAGAGTAAGAGCAAAAGTTGAAATATCAAAAATTGTCTTCCCCTGCAAGAGCTTCCGACTTCTAAATTCTCTGACATAAAACATTGTACCGGAGATCTTAAAAACGGTGTCGTTTAATAGTAGCACTTCCTGGATTTCAGTGTACATACGTATAAATATACAAACAAAAACGCATACAATCTAAGTTTTTTATAGGGAGGGGAGAGAGAGAGAGAGAGAAATGGCTGCTTTCATGGCGGTTCTGGAGGCAGATCTGCGAGCTCTCTCCGCTGAATCTCGCCGCCGTTACCCCACCGTCAAAGACGCTGCTGAACATGCTATTCTTAAGGTCCGATTCAATTTGCAATTTTTTCCTATCATTTTGATTTATACTGAATGCAATAAGGTAGTAGTACTTTTCTATATTGGAAGAGTGAATGTTTGATATTGAATGTGGAAATTGCAGCTAAGATCACTGTCGAGTCCGAGTGAAATTGCGCATAATGAGGATATTCTGCGGATATTTTTGATGGCTTGTGAAGTTAGAAATGTGAAGTTGAGTGTGATTGGGCTGTCTTGTTTGCAAAAACTCATATCTCATGATGCGGTTGCTCCATCGGCACTTAAGGAGATTCTCGCTACATTAAAAGATGTAAGTTTTTGTACTAGATGCTCAACGATGTCATTGCAAATAATTTGTTTTGTTTTCTGCTCATTATAACTGCAATTTGAGAGGGAAAGTTCCGTATTCCGCTCCTGTTATTGGACCTTCTATGTTTAATTTCTTGTGGTGTAGGCTTGAAGAAAGTATTGAAGATTAGCAATGGTGAGGTTTAATAAGTCAAATGAGAAGAACCAAGCCGTTCTTTACCACGCTTGAATAACGCATTCCAGATATGCCGTGTTTGGTTTTCTATAAGAACTGGACTTAGATTGAATCATATGAGCTTAATATGGATAGGACGCTATTCCAATGCCAATAAAATTTGAAGTCTGATATAGAACCAAATGTAGAACACATCAAAACTGTTCTTTGTCCTTAGTAGTTGTTAAATGTTATCCTGGACTGTACTATTGAGTGCCTATAGAATCTATTGATGTAGGGGAAGAAGGGAAATAGTATAATTATAAGAGATCGTATGCTTGAGACAGAGGAAGCTATAAGGTTGAGCGAGTGGGATTAAGGTCCCTTCTTCGGAGCAATCAAATAAGAAAATTGAAATGTTAGAGCATTAGTGCATATGCACTGTAGCTTTAGGCATTGACTTGTATACTGATGTGGTAATCAGCTATAATCAAATTTAATCACATGGGAGCAAAGAGTTAAATGTGATGTAGTGTTACGTAACATCTCCATTCCAAATGACCTTAATTGGTTTCTGGTTTGAGTAGTTTAGATAGTCTTCAGTGTCAAACCTTCTGCCATGTATTTCAGGATGAATGCATTACCCAGCAGCAAGCCGTCATTTTTATGTTTTCTAATATCCATTGTTGCTGAAAGTTTAGAGAGCTGGACAAAGTATTTAATGAGGACTAGAAGTAATGTTGCAAAGGTATATAATAGATTTTTGGAGACTTTTTACCCTCTCTTGTGGCTAACTTGGATTTGCCATTTGGAAGTAGTATTGATTTGATTTTGCAAGTACAAAAGTGTATATAACCTATAGGTAGAAGAAGCTCAGAGGAGGTTATCAAACTTTTAAATTTGGTCAAGATTGCTGGTTGCCTCTGCTTTCAAAGCAGTACACCTGAACTTTCCTTTTTTTTTTGTTTAATTGGTTTAAACTGGTATGGTTAATGGTATAGCACCTCATTCTTCTTTCATACTGTGACTGGTTTGTAAAGGAAGGCTTATGACACACTGCAGCTGAGAGCTGGAAAATTTTTTTGGTCCATTTTCAGCATCTTGCAGCAAGTAATGGCACTTAATGCACTATGTAGGGTATCCTATATGTGGTCCGAGGAATTGCCTTGGCCTGACATACATTTTCAACAAAATCCTTTGCTGGGCACGTAGGCACATTGACCCTGGCAGCAAGTATATACTATGTTTGGAGGGGTCAAATCAGAGGACTTTTCCTTATGAAAACTGGCATTTCAGACCTAGTATATTGTGAATTCAATAGTTGGAGGGATTATTGTATGTAGTGATACCATCTGCTTGATTCTGCTTGATTTTCTAACTGATGTAGAGTCTGTATGAAATAATTTGGTTGTACAAGCTTACCCAGATAAAACAGTTATTTCCACCTAGAAGTGAATTTGTAGGTAGCTAAAATTTTGATGCTTCTTTAAAAGGATGCCTTTTACTCATTGCCCCTCCTTGCCTTTACTCATTGCCGCTCCTTGCCAATCTTAGTAGGAAGATAACGATAAGAAAAAGGAGAATGAGAAAAATTATGTACATGGGTTTAGGAGCAATTTTAAATGATGTCTTGGCAGGTTGTGAAAATGGGTTAACATCCGAGGCAGTACTCACAATTATTAGACTGTTTGAAATGTAGACATGTTGAGAGCCAATGTTCAGTTTCAGAAACACATTGTACCACATATCTGTTGGTCAGTTTTCTAGAGGCATGGAATGGTGCTAATCCTGTCTATGTCGAAAATTGAAACTTGAAATTTAAACCCAAAAAAAAAAGCAACAGCAACTTATGGGAGGTGTGGACCAAGAGTTTTTAGAGTTGCTTGCAATGATGATCTTGTAGAGCTTCTGGAAGGAAAAAACTTCATTGAGCTAAAGGTTAATGAAAAAGTTGATGTTTAAGTTTGAAAAGAAAATTTTAGAATGCTATGACACTTACATGTTATAATAGGTGAACGGAGAAACAACAGTTTAGAAAAAGTAAAACAATTCTCTGCTGCTCAACATTTGGTAGGTTTTGTTGATGTACATTTGCTTTTCTCTGATGTTTGATCATAGGAAGCTTCATCAAAGTCTTGAAATGCTTAATAAGGAATGTGAGAGGTTGGCTGGGGGTTGGCCTGGGATTGGGACCCTGCTTGATACACTTAGAATTCATAGGAACTTTGTCATTCTGTCTTCATTTATTTGCCAGTTGCAAATATTCTTTTATATTGTCAAGGAACTGGATCAATATGCTGAACGTTCTACTAATGGCAGAAAGGAATTTTTTTAATACTGAAAATGAGATAAATAGTGCAGGAGTTTATGCACGTCTGACATCTATGATGCATTTTTCTGGTACTTTATGGCCCATTTTCATGCTAAGAAGTGTTTTTTGTTAGTTTTCCCCTACTGTCACTTATATTTCCTCTTCCTTAAAAGAAAAATTGACTACAGGTTGTTGTTTGAGTTTTTTCTGTGTTTAGATTTTTAACTCTTGATCCTTTTTTCTCTCTTTTTTTTTGTGTTCTTTTCCCTCATTTGCATGCAGCATGGTGAAATGGCAGATGACAGCATCCAACTAAAGACCCTGCAAACCATCCTCATAATATTTCAGTCTCGTTTGCAACCTGATATTGAGGTTATTGTCTACAACTCTACTCTTTTCATGTCTTATTTGAAGTTCTATTTGTGTTTAGCAGCAGTATATGTGTTCAATTGCATAAGAAAGGTATTGAGGAGATCATTGTGCTCCTTGATTTACCGGAAGTGCTTCTCATTCCCTCATCCTACAATGTGTTTTGGGCTTGTGTCGGTTGCTGATGCTTCAGTTGCCAGAGTCCTGAGAACCATGCGAGCATAGACTTTCTGACCATCATTTTTATTTACTTCAACAGCCTATTGCCATACTCTGTTACAATGCGTAATTGGCTAATAAACCACTAACCAGGCTGACTATAAGGAGCTCGTCAATTTTGGTTTTCTTTGTGTCTTAGTAATACAAATTTGGAATTGGATTTCGTAATGCAGCTTGACAGTATCTAAGATGGAAGTCTCCTGAAATTTTCACACTTGTTTTTGATTACGATGATATTGTTTTTTCACCTAATTCTATTCTCTGCACCAGTAATATTGTTGATGTCATATCTCAGTATATTGCCAAATTAGAGTCATTGAGGAGCCACAGATGTAGTTCATAAAACAAATTTTCTTTAACTAGTGTTACACATTTTTGGAATGTCCTTCTGTGGATGTGAATTCTTAATCCTTCAGTCAATAATGCAAAATTGACAATTTAGACTGTGTTTATCTAAGTGTTGCTTGGGCCCGGACTTTTTGCATCTCCTTCTCCTTTTCTTCGTTGTCTTGCACCCTTTCTTCTTTTCAGCACTCTCAAGTCTCAATACGTAATAAGTTAAACATAATGGCCATTTAGCCCAGTCCCGAAAGGCCTTGATCCTCCGCATCCTTGAATCATTTAGAAGGAGAAAAGGTGCATCTTTTGAAAAAGATTGATACGATCACTAAATTATGTTTATTCATTTTGGTGAGGTAATTTGAACTTGTGAAAGAATTTATCAAATTATCTGGTTGATTGGGAAGTAATCATTGAATTTCAGGAGAATATGGCTCAAGCTCTTGGTATCTGTCTTCGGCTGCTTGACAGCAGCAGATCTTCTGACAGCGTGAGGAAGTAAGATGACATTCTTTATTAGCTTAGATAGGTGCCAAATTTATTTCATATTTATATGCCAATTATCTTTCTTGTTGTATCTCCCTTCCTAGTTGACTTATTCTGTTATTTAGCAGCAAAAGTGATTCTTATCTCCCCTTTGAAACTTATGCAGCACTGCTGCAGCAACCTTTCGACAGGCAGTAGCACTGATATTTGATCATGTGGTTTGTGCTGAGTCACTTCCTACAGGGAAAGGTGGTTCTGGAGGATACATCTCTCGTGCTAGTTCAGTAACTAGTGATGTCAATCGGAATTTAAACCGCTTAGAGTATGTAATTTCCTTTTACCAAGCAATTCTTTCTTTATTATCCATATATGTGCATCCCATGTTGGTTGGATTATCTTTTGGCCTGTAGATCGCTATCCATGTGTGAGTTGTCCAGATTGCTTGAGAAATTGAGATTCTTAGATCTAGATTTAAAGCTTTGTATTCTTATATCTTGTTTGCTAGCTGTTGAGTTTGTTCAGATATGATGGCATATATCATTGAACTGGAGTTTTTCTGTTATCATATTATATTTGGCTTTGAAGGTCCTTACTGTGTGCTCACCTGAACCTTGTATGATAGGGCATTGGAGCTAGAATTGGTCTCTGGAGGGCCATCATTAATGAGGGACACTTTAACTAATTCTGGAAAGCTTGGGCTTCGTTTGCTTGAGGACCTGACAGCTCTTGCTGCAGGTGGATCTGTATGTTCTAATTCAACATTGATAAATTGCTTTTTGTGATAACTAGAATGCAATATTACAGACCAGCTACTTTTTGAAAAAATTGCAGTTGTGAGATTTTCCAATTTCAAACATCATCTGTAGTTTATTTCGAGATGAAATAGTTGTTTGCTTCAATGTCTCAGGGCATCTGGTTACGAGTTGACTCAATTCAACGGACATTTGCTCTTGATATACTTGAGTAAGTGTCTTCCCTTTCTTCTATGCTTCTGGTTGCTTAATTTCAATAGCTTACCTGGTAGGAACTTTGTAACAAGCATAAATGTGCATTTTGCCTGATAGTGGGTGAAATATTGAATGATGGAAACGCCTTTTCCTAGGGGTGTCCCTGCTTGAAAACCAACTCATGCAGGTAGAATTTAAAGTTTGATTTTGGAATTAATGTGTTCTTACTGTGTGTTTGGTGTAGCTTCAAGTAACCGTATCTATGAAGTTATTATAAGCATTTGAATGATAGGCCTCTTATGAGAATTTCGGTTTCTTTTTCATAATGTGCAAGCCTTTTGAAATTAGGAGTGTTTTAACATTTTAAATATGAATTCCAATTCTCTTTCAAGTAATTGTCAATGTACTCTTATTTTTAGTTTTATTTGTTATTACATAAATACTGTTATGCATATTGATGAAATTGAAACATATTCCTATCAGTTAAGGACATTTAAGTCAAACTGATATCTGACTATTATGTTTACAAGCAACTTCTTACTATTATGTTTGACAAACAACTTTTACGGGAAGTGGCTTCTCATTTTCTGAAATTTTAGGGAAAGGAAATGTGAATTGTTGGAGCAGGTTACTTGTGTATGTTGGTATGAATTTGTGATAATAAAATAATCAAAAGGATATGAGTTTAATTAGATTTTCTTATGCCATGGTTCTTCAGGTTTATCCTATCCAATTATGTGGTATTATTCAGGGTCTTGATTCCTTATGATCAGGTGCTATGAGTCCTCCTGCCCTCAAAACTTTTATAATTCTGTTTTCCTTTAATTTTCTGGTTTAAATATGGGCTGGACAACCAACAGGTTCTGTGTCACCAAATATGCTCACTGCTTATGACCTCACTTCGAACAAATTCTGAGGTGCTTGTCTTTCAAATATAGCCACAAAAATTTTATACAGGTTTGATGATCTATCTGGAAAAATATTTTATAACTTTTCTCTTCCACCTTGATCTGTGTTCTTGAATCAGCTTGATGGTGAAACTGGAGAGCCTTATTTCCGTCGCTTGGTCTTGCGTTCAGTAGCTCATATTATCAGACTTTATAGTTCATCACTCATCACTGAATCTGAGGTATGTTTGTTCTTATTTTGTCACAAAGCATTTGGAATAATTGTTCAAAATCCTGTTGTATTTTCCTTCAACTGATGCATTTTAGAGTATTTGAAAGCATAAAGGTTGATGTAAGATATAGGGTTAATTACACTTTGTCCCCTTGAACTTGGGCCCTGATAACACTTTGCCCCCTTAAACTCCAATTATATACACTTTACAACTTGTGGTTAACTTTTTGATGGGGTTAAAATGAAGTTATATCTTTCATGGCCAAAATATCCCTGACTAATTCTTAAACACACATAATAATTGTCACACAATAAATACCTATTTCTTTAATAGTTGCTAAATGCATCTAAACACAATTACTCTATGCACATCGAACTTTTAGTACTAAAATGAATTAGATAATTCACAAAAAAAGTCCTAAGCAACTCAGTGTATTTATTTCATTGCGGATAGCAGTACTTATTTTAAATGAAATAAAATTAATTAGTGCATTTGGAATAAAATTATTTGCTTATATTTTTTATTGTAGCACATTTTAATGTGTTTTATATGAGATAAAAATATGATTAAAAAAAAATGTATTGAAATGCATATTTAAAAAGTTTTTATATATTTTTTTAAATATAGAACTCAAACAAAATACAAAACAAGGTATGAATGTGGTATAATTACCTAATAGCATTTTATTGACTCGTGAAAATCTTGTGAAAGCTGCAAGGTAAATGACAATTATTAAAATCAATCTGTTTACAATTTAAAGGAAGAAAGATAAGTGATGAAAAACTTGTGCAAAAGTTTTACGAATTTTTAAATTCTTTTTTTTCTCTGCAATACAATTTTTCAATTCTTTGGTATTATACTATGTTTTATTTTTTAATTTTTTAAATCATGTGACTTTGTATTTTTTTTCTAATAAGATGTTTCATATTCCAATTAAAAGTTTCTAGAACTATTGTGTGAGGGCATTAATGTCATTTTGTCAAAATTTTGGATGGAGAATTAATGTTTGACTAACAATGAAGGGGGCAAAGTGTGTATATTTAAAATTCAAGGGGCAAAGTGTTATAATGGGTCAAGTTCAGGGAGGCAAACTGTAATTAACCCTAAGATATAAGGAATAAAGATGAACTGGGAAAGGGGAGAGAGAAGGGGAACATGCCAAAGAAAAGGAGGTAAGAGTAGTGGTGTAAATCCAAAGAATAATATTTTTTTTTGGGGTGAGCGGTGGGGGGGAAGGGGGGTGGAGGAGGTACACTTCTTTGTCATGAGGACTACATGTTGAAAAGAAATCCAAAGAACTAGCTGTTCCGTTTCATTTTCTTGCCCAAGCTCCTCACTGAATACTCATCCGTGAAACCAGTTTAATTCTGGTGATTCTTGCCACTGTTTGGACTCTAATGTGAAACTTCTAATAAGCTCTGTATGGTTTGAAAAAGAATCTGAACATAAACTTCCGTTGTAACTGGAAAAATCTTCTTCCATTTGATTAAATTGGTTTTCTTACCATGTTCAGTCTGTAGGAAAAATGTTAGATTGCTTAGTGAACTTCATGTCGCTTTTTGTTCTTTCTCATAAATTCAATTCGCTGGAAGATTCTTATATGTGTAAACTTCTTTAATTCTATTGCAGGTGTTTCTTAGCATGTTGATCAGAGTTATATCTCTTGATTTACCGTTATGGCATCGCATTCTTGTTCTTGAAATCTTGAGGGTAGGTAGAATGAACCCTAATGCAGGATATCTTGATGAATTAGTCAATGTTAATGAATACATTAAGACATTTTACGTAAGCTTATGTTTCATGATGATTAATGACTGTTAAATTGACAGGGTTTCTGTGTGGAGGTGCATACTTTGAGAATTCTTTTTCAGAATTTTGACATGTAAGCATTTTCACTCTGATTAACTCTTACTAATGCTGTAACCTTCTGCTTTAGTGGAAAATATCTTGTTGGGAGATATGGTAGAACTGAGAATCCACTTTCTTAATGAGTTTACTGGTTTCCATATATCTTCTCGAATTTGCTGTAGTTGTGTAGATAAACAGTGTGTCATTTGATTTACTTCAGATGATTTTTCTATTACCTGCATGTTTTTGTGGCTTGTGGCTGATTTTGACAATTTATTTGTTGATTGGTTTTCTATCTTGTGTTTCGCGAAGATGCTAGGAGAACTGTAATTGTCAATAAACTGGTATAGCAGATTGACAATTTCTGCTTCTGTATCTAGTAGCTCAATGATACATGGACCAAAATTTAAAGAGGCCTGTGTATGATAGATTTTTGTGAAAATTTACTTAGTTTGTGTTTGGATGGGGCGATATGAGTGGATTTCAATTTCAAATCCTTCCCCAAATCTCTTGACATTTTTGGATAACTTACAGGAGATTTAGATTCACCAATTGATTAGAAGGATTTGCAGAGTTAAAACTAATGAAATTCAAATGCATCCAGATTAGGTATCACTTAAAATCCTTCTCTTTTATATTTCTCCATACTTCGTCCAAGTTATGCGTTTGTATATGTTAGCAGAGAAGACCAGGCTGCATAACCATGGTTTCGCTGTCATAAGTTTTGGCTATTGGTAAATTCATCCAAAAATAGGACACCAAAGGCAGCCTGCTACGTCATTTTGCTCTGTGATGTTATATGGTTTGAGGACTCTCACAAATTGGTCTGTGCAATTAAGTGATGTCCACTTTCAGGAAAGTCACCAACCCAAAAAAGAAAAATGGATAATAACAGCAGCTTTGCTGTGGAAGCCACTTACGAAAAGAACCACTTCAGAAGACTTTAGAAGAAGAAAAGGAAACTTATGAAAATTTAGTATATGACTATTAAACTTTTTCAATTTTCAAACAATGTGGTTGTTAATTAGTAATCCGCCTTGTACATTCAAATTGTTTGCCAAACAAGGTAATTGAATTAATGTGGATTTCAAACGAACTCATTTCAAATTCTTCCTTAAATTAAAATCCACCAATTCAAATGGACCCTTAGATTGATTTGTGCAATGATATGCCTAGAAGATTTGGTGATGGGGAATGTTTAGACACGATTAACACATTCCAAATTAATGGGGTTCTCTGATGATGCTTTCCTTGGCTCCCTTTGATGATACTGTATAGGGTCCTGGATGATCTTTGATATCATGTTGGAAGATGAATTTAAAGAAAAGTTTTAGGAAGGAGTCATTCACATGAAACTATAAATCAATGGTTGGATAACTGATGACACATTAAAGTCATCCCAAGAACAAAAATAGTTCAGACGTGCTTCTGTTATAGTCCTTTGGTTACAGAATCTGATAATTATGATGTGTTGCAGGCATCCGAAGAACACCAATATCGTTGAGGATATGGTAAAAGCTCTGGCTCGAGTTGTTTCCAATGTTCAGGTAAAAATTACACCTTGAGGATTCTTTTTGCTGTTGTATATTCTCAATATATGTTCACTCAAGTCGTTTTTTGAGTGTGCAGGGAAAGTTGCACCTTTATGATCTATCCTAGTTTCTTTTTACTGTGTTTTACTTGATTATCTTTAAATGATGCTACTCATTTTCATATTCATTATCGGTACTTGGTGAATGAGGAAATGAGAAGTATTGTGCCTTTTCCAAGTAAAGGTTCTTGAATATATACCCTGTTGTTTGTCTTGGGACTATTTCCAGCTATTCTTGTGCCCTTTTTGTCCTCTTGACTTCACAAATCAGAAGACATAGGATTTAGATTGATCACTTTTAATTCATTTTACAGTTTCAGGACACAAGTGAGGAGAGCCTTGCAGCTGTTGCTGGAATGTTTAGCAGTAAAGCTAAAGGTATTTCCCAGAATAATGTAGAGCTAAATGTGCTTTTGACCTTATTAAATGTAACAGAAAATTGGCAATTCAACGTTTTGGTATTCTTTGGAATTATTGTTGATCTTGGATGCTTGCAAACGTGCAAAGATAAAATTGTCCTCAGTGATTTTCTCCATGCTCTCTGACTGAAATATAATATAAATAAAGAAACAAAGAATCCGTTTCCAAGTGTAGAAACATGTGTCTAATGTGCAACCTATGATATGAATTATAAATATGGGCAAACTACCTAATGGACACTAAACTATTTGGATAACTTGCTTTTGGCCACTTGACTGTTTTTGTTTTCAAATTATCCACTGAACTTCTATAGTGGCATACTTTTGGCCATTCTGTTTCATTTTGGGGTTATCTAAGCAGAACTATCAAATGTGCTACACAACGAAATGGGTCTTTTTCATGAGATTTAACCTTGAAATTCAATGGAATTGTTAAAAGTATATCAGCTCTATTTTAAGGTGGTTAATTTAGAAACCAACAGAATTAGTGGCTAAAGGTAGACTATCAATATAATCTAGGGACCATTTAGGTTCTTTGCTTAAAAAAATTTTTTTTTAAATGAAGAGAAAAGCAACATCAAAATGAAACCTTTTAAATAGACACATTTGATGGTAACATAGACTAAATTAGATTAGGCTTTACAGGAGTGAGTTTTTTTTATTGTCTCTTATAATGTAGCTAAACTTTCTTGGCAGCTTTCTTTTGGATTTATAGAATGTACAATGTTGTTCTGTATCTATTATGAAAGACACCTTATGATAATAAGATTTGAAAAATTTGGTGGAATATCAGATTTTTGTCTGACTCAAGTAAGAAAAACTCAAGTGGTAGAGTGCAGTTCTCACATCAAGTTGTGATCATTAATGCTTATCAGATCAACATAATCACCTAGATTTTGACAATAACTCATCTAAATTTTTATTGCCTGAAACTAAACTATCTTACGGTAGTGCATTAATTTACTTTCACCTTAAAGTTGTTTGCTTTTGATATCAGGAGTTTTAGCAAACTTTGTTTTAGTTTACTATTCTGATTTAATTATGGAGATTGAGGCTGCACGTACTAGCACTATGGTAGAGCCACTATGAGTATAGAGTGAGGATATGAATTTTTATTATTTTCCCAGAAGGAAAAGAAGGGCTTGGTCCCTCTTTTCTTTTTCTTTTTTTTTTGGATGCATTGTCTATGATAAAGGTTGCAACATGTTTTGCTGCAAATGTTATACATTAATAACAGGATGACTTAATCAGAGCGTTATGTCAGTAAGGCCGGCCATCATTTACTACATGTAGATCAGTTGCTCAATTGCTTCAAATAATTATGACATAAGAAGTGGTCTTAGGCTAGGTATGGAAGTTTGGAAAGAGCTTACATGTTTCTAACTTATTGTTTTTGTGTGTGTGTGTTAGTCTTAAGAGTATGAAGTGCTTATACTTCCTTCTTGTGCAAGTCAGTAGCTTCTTCTATTGATGATGATCATCTCCATACAACATGCAACCTTTCTTGATCTTGCATTTGAAGAGATTTAATTGCTTTTATTTTTTTTTTGTTAAATAGCCATAAAAATTGAGTACTTGTTTTGAATGCCTGGAATTGAATAATGTATGGTTCACGAGTATGCTGTAAATAATTGTCTGCAATACATGAATTTCCCAATTGTGATTTGTTTGTCAGTCATGGACACAAAAGATGAAAACTTGAAAATGTGCCAGGGATTGAATGGAGTTTAGATAACGATGCATCCAATGCTGCTGTCTTGGTTGCCAGTGAAGCCCATTCAATAACATTGGCAATTGAGGGTTTGTTGGGTGTTGTTTTCACTGTGGCTACTTTGACAGATGAGGCAGTTGATGTTGGTGAGGTGCGCGTAGGAATCAAAGTATGTACATTTTGCTCAAATCTAGTTTTGCCACTTGCTTATTTTGTTTGTTTATCTTGGAGCCACCAGATTGAGTCCCCCCGCTATGATTCTGAGTCACCAGAAAAATGTACTGGGAAAACTGCTACTCTTTGTATTTCAATGGTTGATTCCATGTGGCTGACAATACTTGATGCTTTGTCTCTGATTTTGACAAAGTAAGTAAAAGATCATTTAGTATTTTTAGTGTTGATAAGCTGATGTGTGTGCTGATACAAAGTCAGTATTGCAGGTCACAAGGAGAGGCTATTGTGTTAGAGATATTGAAGGGTTATCAAGCATTTACTCAGGTATTCTTCATTGTCTCCAAATTATGATCATGTTCTGTTTATGGATACTATGATTTTTGTCCTTCACTCTTGGAATCTTTGGGAGCAAATTGATGGTCTGCTTATTTAGATTAGTGTCTCTTGTTTTAAAGCTGCTAATTATATTCCAGCCACTTGCTTGTCCCTTGTAACTTGAAACCCATAAACTGCTATCTCAATATTGTCATCATCTTTTACTTTAGATGATAATGGCTTGCGTATTTGTTGATTAGGCTTGTGGAGTTCTTCGTGCTGTGGAGCCTTTGAATTCTTTTCTTGCCTCCCTTTGCAAGTTTACCATCAATATACCCAATGAAGTTGAAAAGAAGAGGTATCACAATTTTATTGTTCATGATGTCATGCTTTTCGTACTCCTTTATAGCTCGTTGATGTCTTACTAGTGGCATGTTAGTGGGGAACTCATTCTGTGAGTACTTTTGCGTCGATGCTGGAATTTTGTGCTATATGTCTAGATAATGGTGCCACAGTAGGAAGACAACCCCAGGGTTGTCAGTTTGCATCTTGAGATTTCCCAATTGTTCTGTAATCTAGGTCTTTTCTTGACGTTAATGTCAAGATTATATCTATTTGGATAAATGATTGCCACAGTAGCAAAACAGCCACAGGTTTGCGAGTTGGTGTCTTAAGATTTGCCATTTCTGCTGTATTTTAAATCTTTTTGTTGGCCCCTGACTTGGAAATTAAATTGGAGCCCGCTTTGGTTATAATTTAACTGGCTATAGGCTATATTAACAATCAAATATTCGACTTAAACTTGTTTTCTAGAGCACTGCCTGCATGAGTTTGCATGATATTTCTGTCTAGTCTGCATGTCAAATGAGAAATTTTGTTCATCATGTGGTACCAGAACTGTCCCTTTGGGTTCTTCCTAGTGGTCCTCTGAGTCATTAGACTGCTTACCAGCAGTGGTAATGTAGTAAAAATAAAATATAACGTCTGTTGGGTATGGAATGTGGCTGACTATTTTTCCTTTTCTAGGAGTAAGTTATTTGCAGTAAATATTTTTTGCCTTGCTTTGACTTCACCATTGAATTTTATGCAGTTTGATACAGTCTCCTGGGTCAAAGAGGTCAGAAGTAGTAGTTGATCTGAGGGAAAACATTGTCCTCACTCCTAAAAATGTTCAGGTTAGCTCTGTTTTCTGACATCAATTGATTACATGTTAGTGATTTAAACAGTATTTTGATTTATGCTAATGTTTGTGATACCCAGGCTTTAAGAACCCTCTTCAATATAGCCCATCGACTGCACAATTTCTTGGGTCCTTCATGGGTCCTGGTATGTGATTTTAGCTTCTTCATCTATATCAAAGAAGATTACATGTTCTTATTTCTTTTCTAAATAATTGTAGGTATTGGAAACCCTAGCTGCTCTTGACCGAGCAATTCATTCACCACATGCTTCAACGCAGGTATGACAATTCCTTTCCTGTCCAAGATTGAGTGCACTATAGAAATGTATCCAAAAATGCAGACTATCCCAATGAGCCCTATAATTCAGATTTATGCCAATTAACAAGTTTGAACATTTTTTTTAAATTAATATCTAACAAGATGCTTGTAAAGATCTATGAAAAAGTTTCAATTATGACTCTACATTTTACTATGATGTGCTCACAAGTTTTATATTCCATGTTCATATAGGAGGTATCTACAGCTGTGCCAAGGCTTACACGAGATTCATCTGGTTCTGGTCAATATAGTGATTTTCATATCCTTTCTTCACTGAATTCTCAGGTTATTATTATCATCATTATTACTATTCTCTTTGGGTATTTGTGGAGTATATAATTGTAATTCTTTAGTGTGTGTGTGTGTATAATCATCTCCATTAGCTTACAATTGTGTTTTTCTTTTTCTTTTTTTTTTTTTGTTCAGCTGTTCGAGAGCTCTGCCCTAATGCATGTGTCTGCAGTGAAATCACTTCTTTCTGCTTTACGGCAATTGTCTCATCAATACATGTTTGCTACTTCTGGTAGCTTGGCACAAGCATCCAATCAAAAATTCGGGACTATTAGTTTTGCAGTGGAAAGGATGCTAACGATATTAGTCAACAATCTGCATAGTAAGTCCAATATTACAATGCAAATTGGCTCCGTTTAATATCATTACATATTTGCATTTAAACATGTGAAAAAAGAGGAGGAAACAGTACTGATTATGGAAATTCACACTATATCAGCCTTTGCTAACTGAATGCGTGATGCCATATTTTTTTATATTAGTTGTATGTTTTTCTACTTTTCTGGATATGGGTGTTCCAACTTGAAATTCAGAGTTGTATTCTCAAGTCTCACATATAGGAACAAATACTATAGTATCAAAGTGGTGTTAGGTTTTGAGAAGAGGATATCTTCACTTCAATTTATATGATTTACCAGAAAAGGAAAAGGGATAAGAGGAGTCATTCTTAGGCACAGGTTTTATCGACCAAGGAAGGACATCCTAGATTGAGCAGCTTGAAACTTCCTCTAAGCTGGCCACAAGTACTTGAGATAAGGCTTTGCTGAGTTTATATCATAGAGCTAATCCTTTATTGTTTTTTTTGGTCTCTGAGCATTTGATGATGCCTAGGAATTTCAACCTTTGGCATGAGATTCAGGATTCTTATCATCTGAAATCTTTTTTCTTTTGAATGAACTGTTAGTGTCTGGGTAGTGTTGGTTAGCTTTTGAAGACATGCATATCTTTTTGTCTTTGTATTTTTATACCACACTCAGAAAAATATTTTAGTTGGAATTTGTCAGAGTGCTCCTTGCATGTCTGTTGCTTGGTTTTTCATTTTCATTAAAAAAATATAATGTTCATGTTATGAATAGAGCTTAAAGATTGAAATCGCTCTGAATAATCTGTGACGTGTAGTTCTTGATTTGAGTTTGACACGCAGAAGATACTGTGTTCCTCAGTATCTTGTGTTGGTAGATCTGTTTCCTATACTTAACATTCCTCAATGGGTATACTTGGCAACAGGGGTAGAGCCATTATGGGATGAAGTTGTTGGCCATTTCCTGGAGGTAATCTAAGCATGAATTGATTGTGCAATGTCTATACCAATTAACCCCTTTTCCCTGATTAGGTGTATTGAATTCCTTGCAGCTTTCTGATAGCTCTAGTCAGCACTTACGCAATATGGCACTGGATGCAATGGATAAGTCAATCTGTGCCGTTTTAGGTTCTGAGCTATTTCAGGGAAAAAAACATGGTGGATTTGATAATGTGAGAATTGCATATGCAGTTTCACTGAAAGGTGTAGTTTGTTGTGATTTGATACTGACTTGCTTCTCATTGATAATCTGTGCAGACACAAACTAAGTTTAGAGACTTGAGAACATTGGAGTGTGCTGTCATTTCTCCCTTAGATACTCTATATTCCTCTTCGAAAAGCTTTGACATTCATGCTGGGTCTCTTAGAATTCTTCTTCACGTTTTGGAAGTATGTCTTAAATCCTTAATGTGATGCTTGTCCCTATCTGCCGTTGTTAAACTACCTATTTTCCTTTGCTTATAAGTTTTATTTCAGAGGCATGGGGAGAAGTTGTGCTACAGCTGGCAAAATATCCTTGAAACATTAAGGTCTCTGTTAATTGTTGATATGCTTTAGCTGCCCCAGTAAGCTTGCCGTTGGTTCATGACCAAGTTTTTATGCTCATACTTTCAGGTCTGTTGCTCTTGCATCAGAGAAGGATCTCATCGCTCTGGGATTCCAGGTGAGAAAATTATGTCATTTAGTGATTTTGAAGTAGTAAAGAGCTGGTTTTTACTAAGCACAAAAGGTTTGAGGCCCAGCTCACACCTTACTTTTCTTTGTCAGTTTGCATTGATAAGTGGGTCCTTTAATGATTTTTGTTATGCAAATATGCTTCAGCTAAAGATGGGAAAGTGTAATGCACTATCAACATAAATGTACTAAAACTATTTGAATGTCTTGCTACATTTTTCTTTTTTAATAAAAAGTGTCTTCACGTGGAGCACCTTATGTGGAGAAAGAATAGTGGTCCCATGTGTTCTATTCTACCTGCTTAAATTTTAATTACCTAATTTGGTGGTGCCTGCATGTTTTTCTTTCACTCTTCAAACAGTTCTGTAATATGTAGAGTTCTGTAATCTTGTGCCTACGAATTTAGGCTTAAAGAGTATGTGAATCACTAAGAGTGATATGACTCTTATGGAAAATGTTTTGGTGTTGAATCTTGTAGATCAGACTCAGTATGTTCTAAAGATAGGTAAAAATGGAAAATATATCAGTTCTTTTCTTTTTCTTATTGCCAATCATGGAATGCAGGGGAAAACCATTGAGAATGACCAGAAAGAGTAAATTAGTTTTCCTATTGTAAACACCAATTTAGATAAGCATGCTGTTAATCCGTTGATGCGCACACTTGATAGTCTCTTGGTATATTGGAACTGCTATTATTAGGTTATAGTGACTATTTCTCATGGGAAATGCTTCAGTTAAAGGGACTGGAAATGAAATATGAACTCTTGAAAGGATTTGGTCTTTTGTACCTGGGTGGTTGCGGTCATTTCCAATAGTTTCTTTCATAGCTTTTGTTTTTGTTGCTATTAAATTTCCTCATGTTTGGCATGAATTTTTCTCTAATCCATGATAAGAATTTTTCTCTAATCCATGATAAGCAACTGGTGTTTGCCCCAGTGGCCAGGGCGGAGTGCCTTGCAAGGTTTCAAAATCCTGGTTTCCAGGTGTGTCTGTGTGTATCCCTCCACCCATAAAGAGAAATAAATGAAGAAATGGTGGTACAACATTAGTTTCCCAAAAAACTATTGAGTGCTTATGCTAGGATTTGTACAGTAGACTAGAGGGTTCAGTTTCTTTATTTTTGAGTGGTTTCTGCTTGACATGTGCTTTGCTGCATATATGCTAGCTTTTATTTTCAATTAAAACTGCTTGCATTTTTATTTCTTGGTTGTACCTAATTCCGATACTTCAGAATTGGTGCTGTTTGTTCATATCTGAAATTTCAACTGACATGTATTCCTTTCTGACTCAGAGTCTTCGTGTGATAATGAATGATGGCCTTTCAACGATACCTGCTGACTGCCTCCATGTGTAAGTGCATTTTACAGCAGGTTTACAGTCTATTGTTCTGGTCTAAACCAAGGCATGGATAGGACAAATTATTCGTCAATTGATACTACTATTCTTTTGTCATATATGCTGTTATTAGGACTTCAAAACCATAAGTTGTTGTTAGCTAATGGTGCACAGACATGACACAATGTTTTGTACATCTTGTACGTGGTTACTATGAAATTCTAAAAGATAATAATAATAATAATAATAAGTTCTCAATTCTTGTGATTTATGAAGAGAAAAACAACACTGATTCCTTTTTTAACTTTATGAGTTTAGGGTCTTACAGTCATTTCAAATACGTAGGTAAAGAAATGATGTAAAAGTGAATTCCAGAATATAAAGTTGGCAGTCAAACATAGTATAACCATTTAATTAGTTGATGTTACATGACAATGACGTTGTTCTATTAGAGCTTTTCAAGAAGGTTTTCTTTAATGAAATTGTGAAGATTGTTTATCTTTTCTTAGGTGCATTTCTACACAATAAGTACCCTCTCTGTGTGCCTGCATGAATGCCTTGTTCTTTGGTGCAACCATTAGCTCTTTACCAACACATAACATCCTTAGTCTGATGTTTTTCCAGATGCATTGATGTAGCAGGAGCTTATAGTGCTCAGAAGAATGAATTGAATATAAGTTTGACAGCTATTGGACTTCTGTGGACATCAACCGATTTTGTTGTCAAGGGTGCTTCTCATGGACCTCAAAGAGAGAAAGAAACAGGTGTGTTGGCTATACATGCTTTGCTTCAGAACTCAAATCTATGATTAACTTTGCTTTAAAAAAAAACTATCATTAATTTCGGCCTTTTTGCTGTATTCTGAGCTTGTTTCTTTTTGCAGATCAAATAAACAGTGAAAAAAATGAACAGATTCTCAATTCCTCTTATCCTTTCGATGATCAATTGCTGATGAGTATTGTTGTTCGTGACAAGTTGCTTTTCTCTGTTTTCTCTTTACTTCAAAAGCTGGGTGATGATGAGAGACCTGAGGTATTGCAGTTCTTCAAAGGATTTAGACTTCTGCATATATGCAACTCGTGAGAATGACATTCCTTGAAATTTCTGATTCCTAAAGTTGTCCCAGGAGGGCAAAACCATTTAAAGAGCAAGCTGAACTGACCCTACCAAAAGACACTATGATTTTGCTGGAACACGTCAAATTTTCACATTGAAAAATCTTTCCTGAATATTTGCCTTGGTATTGATTGAACATCTTTGGACCTGGATCCTGCTTATTTGAATGAATGTTTGTTATCAGATTTAAAAAGGTTATAGACCAAATGGTTTAGGCACCATCTCTATGATTTTTTTTCGTATGCTCTGGTTCGTTTCTGATAGTAAGTAGCTTACCCTCTGGGATTGAATAACCTCCCCTTCTCCAAGGTGTTTAATGATAGAAATTCAGCGCTTGAACATTTACTTTTGGGTTTTAAGCGGGTCTTAATTGTGAGAAGGAGATACTGAAAGATTCTGTTGGATTGATCCAAAAGATATTAACCAGAACTTTAAAGTGCCTAAGGAGTTCAAACTTCTTAATTTCTTTCGACTTTTATTTGGTGACTACATGACTTTTTCTTTCAATTTATCTAAAAAGATTACTATGAAATAAGAGCTTGTAACACCGTAACCATCAGCATGTAAACCAAACTTCTAGGTAGAAGATTGTTGTTAATTGGTACTCGGTATGAAATGACTGAGATACGATAAATCAGTTGCTCGTTCTGCTACTCCTGGAAAGGCAATAGTTACATTTGCAGCATATTAATTATTTCAAATGCATATTTTGTGGAAACATCTTATCTGTTCCATGCACCAATGATTGGTTTCTATGCTATTTGGAATATCATACAAGGGTGGTGTCCTCAACATTCTTTAAATACTCATTTTTTAACCTTTAACATTTTGCTACCTCTGAATCTCAACGTTAAAATGATTAACCAATTTGGACTACTTACGCTATAGAGTAATTGAATTATACCTTCAGGCTGTTATAGTTTGCTTCTGCTTTCTAAGCTGTTTAATGACATGTTATGACTTTGGTTTTATTGGTATTGCTTCAAGTTATCTGACAAAATTGTTCTTTATGTGTTCGTTGGTATTTAACATTTGATTGTGCATTTTGGCAACTATTGTTTATGAAGTCTTCCAATCTATGTTTTGGATATTCAGCTGCTTGAAATTTCATAACATATTAAAATCCATTTTTCTTAGTTTGGTTCTGCCAAAAAGGTTTATGTGCCTTGGCTTTGTCCAAAGTGTCCATGTTGGCTGCTAAATTCTTCAGTTGAAAAATTAGTTCTCTATTAAGTTTGTTTTATTAGTCCATGCTGACGTCGAATGTTGACCCAGCAATGAAGTGGAGTCTTCTATTTCAGTGAATAACTGTTAATGATGTGACTCTTCACTGGGCTTGATTACATAATGCAGATAGGGGAACTTTACATCATGTTTATGCAACTTATGACTATTTGAATTATTTTCTCACTTTCATTGAATTATTATATCATTAGGTTAGGAACTCTGCTATCCGGACGCTTTTCCAAATTCTTGGAAGCCATGGGCAGAAACTTTCAAAGAGCATGTGGGAGGATTGTCTCTGGAATTATGTTTTTCCTACATTAGATCGTGTGTCCCATATGGTAAGTTGAAATGGATAAAGAAAGTTCTAGAAGCTCTAATTTTTCCTTTTTAATCTTATTCTTTCTGGTCCTAGGCTGCGACATCATCTAGGGATGAATGGCAAGGGAAAGAGCTTGGAACACGAGGAGGAAAAGCTGTTCATATGCTCATACATCATAGGTATATCAATTCCACTTCCTTCATTGCAAGCAAATTTTAGTTCCTCCCATTATTTCCTAACTCCTTTTTTATGTTGATTAGTGATAAAATTTATGATCTTTTGGATGAATTTACAGTCGTAATACAGCTCAAAAACAATGGGATGAGACACTTGTCCTGGTCCTAGGTGGAATAGCTCGAATACTGCGCTCTTTTTTCCCTTTTCTCAGAGATTTAAAGAATTTTCAGTCTGGTAATTGGGTTGCATATTTTTATTTACTATTCCCTGTTAAAATGTTAGATTTTATAAAATTCTTTATCATAAGTCTGGATGATTTTTTATGGCGCAGGATGGGAGACGTTGCTCATCTTTGTTAAGAATAGTATTTTAAATGGTAGTAAGGAGGTTGCCCTAGCAGCAATAAACTGCTTACAATCAACTGTAATTTCACATTCTCCAAAGGTAGCCATTTGATTCTCGACATTTTGAGTGCCTTTTCTGCTTAGTATGCAGAGATAAACAAATCTATCTAATGCTGTGTGTTTAGGAAATGCCTTTTCTGCTTAGCATGCAGAGATAAACAAATATATCTAATGCCGCGTGTTTAGGAAATGCATCTGCTTGTTTATTAATGTTTCTAACGCATTCAAACCAATTTCGTGTACTAGGGAAATTTGCCAATGCCATATCTCAGATCAGTGCTCGATGTCTATGAACTTGTTATTCAAAAATCACCCAACTGCAGTGATAGTGCATCAAGCAAGGTCAAGCAAGAGATTTTACATGGTTTAGGTAATAAATAAAATTTATTGCCCTTTGTTGAATGAAATTAATTATCTCAGTGAATACACAATATCTGTCTGCATGCTTGTCTTCAATATTCACGCATGTGTAGGTGTTCAAGAATGATATTAGTCAGAGGACTTCAAATTCTCTTTTCCTAAACTGCAATGTTTTTGGAGGTCCCCTTGTGTTGGCCTACAACTTCATTGGAGTAGAAAGATCAGTGGGTCAGTGGGGTTTAATTATTGTATCCTATCCCGTAAAATGTGGATTAGCAATTTTATAAGTATGTCCTTTGTATCACCAAAAGGTGTGCCCATACATGCTCAATTCCTTTCCTCTCTTTTTGCTAATTTATTTTTTTGCTATAAACTCTTGACAGGAGAAGTATATGTACAAGCACAAGCGATGTTTGACACTGACATGTATAAGCAGTTGCTCTCTGTCATTGATACTGCAATTAAAGAGGCCAAATTTGCCAGTGATAACTTTGAAGCTGAATATGTGAGTTATTTTATCTAATAACTGGATTTTAAGTCAAGAAGTTTTCTCCTGCTCTCTCTCTCTCTCCCTCTCTCTCTGTCTCTGTAAGTGCATAGACAGATTTTGTGTGTGTGTGTGTGTAGCTGTTTGCTTTGTTTGTTCCTTAAACGGATAGGAGATTATGGGATTATGTGTCTGGTTATTCAAAAAGTCTTCTCCTGGCCTCTCACTGTCTGTGTATATATTTAGATTTGTAAATACTCATGCTGTTTGCTTCGTTTGTTCCTTAAATGGGTAGGAGATTAATGGGATTATGGCAGATGAAAATATGAGAACTGTTGCTGCGTTATCCATATGTTTGGGATTGTATTGCGTTATCGGAGCAAATGTCTCTCTGTTTGAATTTCTTTCATTTTAATTATCAGTTTTAATCTTGAGTTGAAATTACTCTCATGTACTGTAATTCAGCGAAATGGTTATTCTGAAGTAAGTATATTTATTCTCAGTTTATAGTAAACTTCCACATAATGTGGAGATTTTCATGTTTATAGGGCAATGTTCCACCAGTTCAACGTACTGCACTGGAAATCTTGCCGCTGTTACGTCCAGCAAGACACCTTTCAGCGATGTGGTTACTACTTATTGGGAAACTATTGGAGTATCTTCCAAAACCTAGTTTGGGCATAGAAAACAACGATGATGACTTAGAGTCAACTGAGAGCAAGGACCAAAACCATGGTATTAATACTGCATAAAGATACTGCTCTTTACACAAACAAAAGGATCTTATTTCGTATTCTGACTTTTTCACAGCTCATAAGAGTATAAAGGAGGTCCCAAATGGGAAAGCCTCAACACCCCAAAAGAAAGGGCAAGCTTCTCCTAATGGTCTTGAATCAGTCACAAGCTCCAGTTATCTATTTGCAGAGAAGGTTGTTCCTGTGCTGGTGGATCTATTTTTGCAGGCTCCGGCTGCAGAGAAGTACAATATTTATGTGGAAACTATTCAAGGTCTGGGAAGGTGAGAATTTGATATCAGATTGACTGCCCACAAAGCTCAGCTGCTGAATCCTTATTGTGTCGAGTGTCATGGTGGATTCTAATAACACTTTTTAAATTTGAGTTGCTAGGCATTAGTTCCTTTAAAAAGAGAATACTCCTCTGCACATTGATAAAGTGATGGATTTACCTTTTTCTTGTAGTGTGCTCAGTTAATGTAAACCATGGGACTTTGGAAAGTAGTTGAAGTAAACATAATGCTCATTCTCTGGCAGCCACTTTAGAAGTTTACACTGTGTTATACGATAAACAAAATGGTAGATTTCTAAACTCTAGCTTGTTGACAGCCCAGACACTGTTTCCACGATCTCCTTTGATGCTTGGCATTTTTGTCTTCTCTGAATTATATGACTGTCCAGGATCTTTGTTAGGCATTATATAGTTTAAGCGGATAGAGTATGTTGTTTTCTCATAGTACCTAAAAGACTGGAAGGCTATTACTATTTTGGGAAAACTAGAAACTTAAAATGTCAAGATTTTACGTCCTTCCATGCATCCTAGAACATTAGGATGTCATTGTTTTTTGTGTATTCTTTGTTGGGAGACCTAAAACTTATTTTCACTTTCTTGTTCATTGATAGGTGTATGGCAACAAGGAGAGATAACCCTGATGGCTCACTTTGGAGATTGGCTGTTGATGGCTTCAACAACATTCTTGTTGATGATGTGATCAAAGTAACTGTAGACTCTAGTGACCTGACGTTCCCCAGAACAGCAAGAATACGTGTCTGGAAAGAAGTTGCTGATGTGTATGAGATATTTCTAGTGAGCCATTGTGGTCGTGCCCTTCCTTCTAGTGCACTCTCTGTGGCTGTGCTTAAGGCTGATGAATCATTGGAGATGAATGTTTTAGACATTCTGGGAGACAAGATTCTTAAATCTCAGATTGATGCACCTATTGATGTAATACCCTTACACCTGATTTTTTCTGGTTTTTTATTGTTGTGCCTGTACATTATGCTTTTCAGTAGACCCAGAAAAAAATAGGAGTAGAAATTGATATTTTAGAAACATTTTTATAATTAAGCCTTGATAAATGGAACTATAAGTATGAGCATTGATGAAATCTGGACATAAAGTACAATCTTTATTTTGAGTTGCCAAAAAGATATGCTTGAGCATGTAACACGTTTGTTGTGGTATTTGATCTCCTTTATGGGCTTCACCTAGTGTATTAGTAACTGGCTTGCAGTCTCATGGAAATTATACACTATCTTCTATTTTGCCTTGGAAATTTGCAACTTTCTTTTATGCACTATTCTATTTCATGTCTTGCTCCCCCTGTTCATTGATAAGCAACTCTATTGGAACCAAAAATTTTGATTTTGCTTCTTCAAGCTGGTGATAAGACGTGGCTTCTAAGGTCCTATTCAACTTATATTGATGTTCACAGATTTTGCAACGATTAATTACTACTTTGGACCGATGTGCATCACGCACCTGTTCTTTGCCTGTTGAAACTGTTGAGCTCATGCCTTCATATTGTAGCCACTTCTCCTTGAGTTGCTTGCAGAAAATATTTTCTTTGGGCAGGTAATTTCAAACTTCAGAAAAATTGAGCATATAAAGTTCCCATCTGTTTCTTTCATTTGTTGTTGTTGACTGCTGGATGTGTTTTCAGTTACCATCACGAGACCATGGACTGGAATCTTTCTAGATCTGAAGTAAGCAAAGTATCAGTAGTGATATTAATGGCCAGATGTGAGTTCATATTGAATAAGTTTTTGACTGATGAAAATGAGATAGGTGTGTTGCCCTGCCCTGCCTTAACTTTTGGTTTATAAATATCTCACCTTTATTATTCTTTTTGATCTAAGCTATATGTCACGTGAACCATTAATGTCTTCCTTCAGGTGAACGTCCCTTGCCACATGCAAGGGTGGAAGAAGTCATTTTTGTCCTCCAGGAGCTAGCACGTCTTGTAATTCATTCAGATACATCATCAGTCCTTCCTTTAAATCATTCCTTGATGGATGGCCTCTCAGGGGGAAGCGGGGGACGTAAACATTTGCTTGTCCTTTTCCCATCCTTTTGTGAACTTGTTGTATCAAGGTAAAGAGACATATTTCTTGTTGGTAGTCTTTTTAAGTAAATTATGATAATTGCACAAGTCAAGATGCGGTCATTATCACATAATCAAACTGATAGTCACTCCACAATTTGGTCATGGAATTCCTCTTTTTCAACCATCTAGTTATGGTAAATGAAAGTTTACTAGGAAAGACGCACTAAACCTGAATTTTAATTTTAACAGTGAGCCCTCAGCCTGCTGTGGTGCATACATTGTAGTGTATTTTGATATTTCCTAGTATCTAATACATCTCTGACTGCAAAAAGGATATTGCTTTACTAATAGACAGCTTGCTGTGGTTGATTATTTACAACTTTTGTGGATCTGCTATGAAATTTGTAGGATGCGAAAAAGCAAGAAACTACTAGCTTTTTTATTTGTATGCTTTTCCCACTGAAAGGAGATTACGGTATACACTCACAACCATTTCTTATGCAGAGAATCAAGAGTCAGGGAGCTAGTACAAGTGCTGCTTAGACTTATAGCTGCAGAATTGGGTCTGCAGAAGCTGAGTTTTGCAAGTTAATGTGTGGAAGAAAGCGGCTCCTGAGTGCATATTTGAGTTCCATTTTTTTGTGTTCACGTCTATGTGAGGAATTTTTTTGGGTCTCCTCCATCAGTCGATGTTGTATCACTATATATATATATATATTAATTATTGGAATCATATGGTATGTGTTTGTCTAGGTATAAAGGATAGGAGAATAGTTGGAAATGACTCGTGTAGCTGTACAGGAAGAAGAAGAATGCGTACCTCAGAAATTCCTGTAGTTTTTCTTGTAAATTACGGTTTGTTTATATATTGCTTCTTGCTACTTTTCCTGTACAAAGCCAAAAGTAGTTAATTGTCAAGCATCAGGATTTTGAGATTCCTGAAGGTATTATTGATATTATTATTGATATCAATGTGACAGTGGCCTTCACTGGCGAAGTTTCCAGCCTCTGCAATTCGAGTATTTCTACGAATGTAAGAGTGATTCTTTTCCCCGTTAACTTGCTATTTCTATTAAGTGGTTATGCGGCTGAGCCAGATCCCTTTGCTTTTATTCGCCTGGATCCCTTTGCTTTTTTATTCGCCTGGTTTTGCTTTATTTGACGGCTGCATCAATTTGATATCGGACGCAGAGGAGTTGGCATGGATGGAACGCGACTTGTAGATCCTAAGAATGTATTCCTGCAAGAGTGTGCGTCAGTGGTAAGGACTCCTTCCCGGGACTCAAATAACTATGATTTGGTACTTACCATTTGTAGTTGTTATAGCAGTTGTGCTCTATCACGAGAAAGCAACAAAAGTGAGGATGCATTGCTAGTACATGAACGTTCTACTTTCTTTTTTGGGATAATTTCAGATACCTTCCTTGAGGTTTTTGACAATTGCACTTAAATATCCTCTAAAATTAAAAGTTACACTCACCTCCCCTTTGTGATGGATGTGACAACATGTCAGCACGAGAAGCCTTCTAATGACCAACTTGCCCTCAAAATATTGTGGCTAATATTATTGCAAAAACAAAGGAAAAAATTTGCCTACAACAATAACACTTCTTTTATTTGCTTCTTGGCGCGAGCATCTACAGCAAATTGTAATTACCAAGACATTAGTAGCAGCATGAGCATGAGTTTTTGAATGGGGTGTTGCAATGTAATGTTGTATGGCAATGCACTCCAGGATGTAGATCCTTTGTGTATCAGAAACGGTCATGGACTTGGCAGTGTATGGTCTCTTAGGCTAGGCATTCCTCACCATCTTAAAGGATAGTTTGAGATGGTGTTTTTGTGTTCTACGGATTTCCTTGCATATGTATTAGTGTTGTGGCCCACATAGTAGTCTTCAAACTATCTTCTTTTGTTGCTTGGACTGCTTAGTATGGACATGTAATTAACTGGAACATATTTACTTGTCCTTGTGCTGTTTAAGGCTTGTAGTGGACTTATTTTTCCAGTTATATGTTTAATGGGCACATGCAACTGTACAAAATGGACGTGCAATCTTGGGAACTCAAAGCTGAAATTCATAAACTAGCATGCAAAAGGTGGTGTTGCTACAATGTGTCCACCAAGCATTTGCCTTCTGGTTTCATCACTACATAACTACTGAGGCTATGCATGTTGGTGGTACATTATTGCATGACTATGGACTAATCAAATGAATTTTACAGTTTATATGAATATTTATACAGCTAGTAAACTCGAATTTTCCATTATCAGCTTTTCGATTGATGAAATTTAATTGCTTCCAATTGATAGAGCCATTGCAATCTGCTAACTTTTCTTGCTTCGAACGGTCAAAAGTGCAGAATTGCATATCTACTCTTTGCTATACTGAGAGGATCACTACTACTTTCATCTCCTTTTCCCCTTTTTAATTAATTTTTATAAACAAAGTGGTAAATGTTTTGTTCAGAATATAAAGAGGGTAAAGTTGGCAAAATTTTGTATGTCAATACCTTTTCCCACTTTTTAAACTTTTTTTTTCTGACAGGGGTTGCAACATTTATCAAATGTGTCCATCCAGGAGAGATGAGTGTAATTTTTAATTTTAGAGGGTATTTAAGTGTAATTGTCAGAAACCTCGAGGGAGGTATCTGAAATTATCCCTTCCTTTTTTGACCAGCTCCAAATAATTATGTCAGTTTCGTAAAGTTAAAATCTTATAATTAACATGAATAGTTGCATGGGATTGGAGCTTTTGGCCAGCAGATTCAAGATGTACATGTTTAAAGAAATATGGAAATTGCAAGGGGATTCCACAAGTCTTTCATTGTTATTACAAAATGTCACATTATTTCAATTCAGATTGGCTGGTTAAACTTACCACATGGAATTTAGATAGAAGGAAATAGGCCTAGAGAAGTCAAACTCAATATCAAACATATTTGACTCCGGCAGTGTCCTTGGATTGGATTATCCATCTTTCAATAGAATCGCTAAAAACCCATACCTCGGATTTTTCTCAACATGTTATAGGAGGAGGATGTATATATGATAAGATGGTTCTGCTAATAAACGAATCATGGTCACGAACAATGCATGGAGTTTCTTAATGTGAGACCAATAAATATGAAATCACGGCCTCAAACAATGCAACAAGGTTCTTGATAGCTACATTTGGATCTTTAGATCAATCTAGATCTGAAATACAAGTCATTAGGATGGAGTCTCTGATTAGCTTGGCTGGCTGTTCCGGTTCATCGTTTGGTTGAGCCTTGCAGCTGCAGCCAAAGAAGCTGCAACACCACCTGGACGAGTGGTCAGGTTTGGATCATTCCTCAACTCTGCACCTATCACCCCCTCAGCATCTCGGCGAGTCACCGGCTTGTCTGCTGGCAATTTCGTGCATGCCTCCTACCCAAAAGTAAATGCCATGACATAAATATTCCATTCTAAAATACGAAAAAAAATGACGGAGAGTGTTCATGGGATTATTAGCTCATTTAAAGTAAATTACTCCCTCCGTTCCATTTTGATAGTTCTGTTTTCCTTTTTCGTCTGTCTCAATTTGTAGTCCACTTTCCAATTGAAGAATGTAGTTATCTTTTAATTTCTCTAAAATATCTTTATTCAATATAAGTTGTTATTAATATAAACTACCTTATTTAATATAGATTATTATTGAATATAACCCACCACATTTAATGTAAAATGAGGATTGATTCTTTCTCGATAATCAATTCAAATGTTCATAAACCATCTATTCAAATATTCATGAATAATTAATATAAAGTTGTACTCTATTTAATGTAAGGGTATTTTAGAAAAATAGCAATCTAAATTTATTTTTCCAACAAATTTAACTATTTTTTCTTAAACTACGCGAAAAAAGAACTAGTACTATCAAAATCGGGGACAGAGGGAGTATGTTTTTAGACTTTGCAAAACTACACCACATAACACACCTAAATATGAGATTGAAGTTTCCTGATGCATTCACCGCCATTATGAGTATCAAACATCGATCAAAGTATAAGCATGCAGATGACATAAAGATGTAGTAATATTGTACCGATAAAACATCTGCCAACTTTGTTTTGTCCTCATCCCTTGTAACTCGAGCATTACGGGTTGCTGCAGATTGAGCTGCAGCAGCAACGCCACCAGGGACAATGTTGGTACGACCTGTTGCTCTAACTTCCGCCGCTTGTATTGCAGCTGCATCACTATAATCCACAGGCTTATTTCCTGCTGTGAGAACTGCGGCCTCAAGTGCTTCACCAATGGTGATGCTGCTCCTCAGTTCGTGTGGAAGAGCTATTTGGCCATCTTGCTGGCCAACCTAGCACAATATATGTTCCCAACTCAAACAAGTAAGTATTGGATTCCTTTTTCATCTTCTCTTTACTTTATAATGAATGAAAGAACGTCACGTGGACTTAGGCCTTAATAGTTGCAATTGCAATTTAGTAGAGGCCAATTAGCGGTCCAAAACGAGTTGTAATCGATGTGGCTCAATTTGGATTGTCCTAATTTGTTTTTGGAAACAAAAAAAAAAAAAAAAACTTTGATATTTGAACCTAATCTAATTGGAACACATTATGGCAATCTAATTTGGACCACTAATTGTTACCTACGATTACACCTACAACTGGATTAACCGAATTAATGTGTAAAAACAATTAAATCAACAGGTGGATCAAGGTTAATTTCTTAGAATAGTATCTATTGATTTAAACATTTCAATGGTTTGAGGATGAAAATCTAAGAACTTCTCTAGCTACCACCTCTTGGTAACTTGGGGTGCACGGTATAATTTGGAAAGCATTTTTCATATATTTCTGTTCTTGAGGTCATTTGAGCACATCCTATAACTTATGCCTTGTTAAGAACTTGAAATCCTATGATCTATGTGAATAGTTGGGTGGGTGCATACGATCTATATGATCTATGATCTATGTGAATAGGTGGAGGAAAGATTCAGAAAGGTACTCCCTCCGTTCCTATTTAAATGACCCTAACCCAATTTTTCCTTTTATCTGTTCTTTTATTATATCAAGAAAGCATTTATGAAGTTAATTTTTTTTTGGTACAAATTTATTTTTATTTATACTCCCAACTTTCTTTGAGTTGGGATTATGAGAAATTAAATGCAGTGTTTGTAGCGTTAAACATTAGAAAATGGGAGAGAGTAGATTACAGGCATTAATTATGGAGATATATGGGTGAGTAGAAAGATAAATTAAAGGGTAGTTTTGGATAAACATTTACTCCTCCAAATCAACAGCTAGTATGTACCAATGTATATAACTTTGTTGCTATATGTTTTCATGCATAGAATGTATATCTCACTAATTAGAATAAGTATCGTAATTACCCCAAAAAAAAACAAAGAAAAATCATGCGTGCTCACAATAGCAATACAATATTTCAAAAAAAAAAAAGAGTAAAGTTAAAATAATGAGCTACGCAAAATAAAGAGAACCTGGGCCAGATGGGAGGGAGGTTGGATTGGGTGGTAGGGGGAGAGAGTGTAAGTGAGAGATCTCGGATTCGAGTCCTCCTTCTTACACTAAAAAAAAAAAAAAAGAGAGAACCTGTGCCAGATGAGCTAGGACAGCTTCCTTTGATGCAACATCACCACCACATTTCACTTGTTCTTCTTCAGATTGAGGCCTAATTAGCTGTTCTCGACTCATTTTCCACTGCTGGAGATATGAATTTTGAGCTAAAACACGAAATTTAAATCAGTAAATATTAGTAACATTCATGAAATTCCAGTGAAGATAATAGTGGCAGTAGTAGTTTGCAATGAAATTGACACAAATATAGTGATGAAGAGTGGTCGAGAATATGCTTGATTTTAGTGCAACAAGTGTCCAAACACAGCCAGATTCTTGCGCTGAATTAAACACGTGGTGGGCTAAATCACACTGCTTTTCTTGGGGGAGCAAAATTGGAGGTGAGATAGAAGTGGCTGTTGAACCAGTAAATGTGACTTGGTCTTCAGGTTGTGCAAAATTTTTTTTTTTTTTTCTAGCATACTTCTATCTATCTATTTTCTAGTTATCAAAGCTGTTAGCACAAAGCAGAAGAAAGAAAGCGAGAATTTTTTTTTTTTTTTTTTTTGTAAAAGCATGCCAAAACAGTTATTCCTCTAGAGCCTTACACAACTATCATTAGTTACCCTCTTTTTATGCACTTCATTTTACCGCAACGGATCTTCTGTCTGTACCATTCTTTGTCTCACTTTTTATTATATTGCTATTTATCCTACATAAATATCATGTTTTAGTTCTTTTTTGTTTCCTTAAGATCCAATAACTATTAATTGAGTAAAAAATAAGTACAGCAGCTTCAAAAAAGTAAGATAAAATTAAAAAATACAGCAGAAAATTCATTAAAAAATCTCATTTTTTATGCATTTTGATTTTTTGAGTATGTTAAATTTTGTGTATAACTTAATTAATAGTTATTGGATCTTAAGGAAATAAAAAAGAACTAAAACATGATATTTATATAGGAGAAATAGTAATATAATAAAAAGTGGGACAGAGAATGGCACAGGGTGTGGGACAGATTATCGGTTGCGTTCATCTTACCATATCACATTTTTGTGCTTCTAAAAGCGTTTTGATAGAGTAATTCATAGGGTTTTGAGTTACTCATAGTTAGACATAATTATCTTTGAGTTTTAAGTTGGCCTTAAAAAAGGGGTAAATATTACCTTTAACAATCTTAGACAAGTTAAATAACTCTAATATGTGTTACTTTACAAAGTCAAAATGTTTTTACTCAAAGTTGAGAATAAAAGAATTGACCGCAAAAACAAGGATCAGAACAGCTAGGGACAGGCCATAAGTATGAACTCTAAAATTCAGAAAATGGCAAAAGATCACAGATTTCAGTGCTCATTTCATTATGGAAAATGAACTGAACTAGCGAAAGTATCAGAAATCATTGCATAAAGTTCTTTCCCCTCCTTTGGTACGTGGGAATGGTATGGAAATAAAAGACCTTTTCAACTTGTCCATTGCATTTCAGCGTTTAGTATGGTTTAATTAAGTGGGAAATCCTTTTGTTCCTGGATTGCTCATTCCAACATTTTTTCTTTTTTCCGAAATTCCATTTCTTAAACCAACCTAGGGAATGCCCTTTCTACCTTTATCCTACAATGCCTAAATAGTAGGATGTCAAATTTATCCTTATACATTTTTACACTACATCATGATATCTTAGACTATTTGTAAGCTCAATTAACATTTAAATGTAATTTTTCATAATAATTAATTTTCCTTGTATTTAAAATAATTTTTTCTTTTATACTAGAAAAAAACTTTTTAAGATACTTTATTCTTTGACTTTTGAACAATTGTGCAAGAATTTTTTTGAATCTTAACAAAATTGAAAATAGATTAAATATGCATTATAATTGTTTGACTTCATGTAATTGATACTTTATGTTGCTAATCATATTGCTAGTAATTGCAAAATTTTAACTCAAAAATCTATAAATTAGAATGAATCGGGTATTATAATTGAAGAATTTTGATACCAATTCTCATTTATTTTTGAAGTAAAAAATCAAAATTTCACGTAAATAGACAAATACTATAGAACAAATAAACAAAAAAGTAATAAGACATATTACATCCTATAAACTAATCCAAGGCAACTAAGTTAAATTTATACTTAGTATATTCCACACTGACATCTAATTAATATTAATTATACAAAATATTGGAAACAGAGTAAATATTCCATTCTGACTTGTCTACCAAATCCCAAAATAATTAAAAAAAAATTGCCATTCTGGGTGAAAATATACCAAACAAGGGGTTAACTGTATTTCCAAAACATGATGGCATAGATGTATAGATTTTCCCCAACTTTAAGGGCAACTGACTGTTGGAAGATATGGGGAACAACAATTTAAAGGAAAACTGACTTGAGCAAAGATGAAAGTGAATTAAACTAGCCATCCTCGGTTAATTACTCTGTAATGGGCCTTATTCTTAGGAATGGCAATACGGCGGGGATGGGATAGGAGGCCCTTCCCTTGCCCCTCGCCGCCACGTTGCCCAAATATTCGCCCCACCTCGCGTCTGCAATGCGGGAAATGTATTGGTGTAACTGATCAATAATTTATGTTAGTAAAAATATATAATTATTGGTATAACTAATGATATTATATATATATATATATATATATATATATATGGAGGGGGTATACTCTCTCGTCCCCTATCCCGTTTTTTAACAAGGGAGAAAATAACCTATCGCCCCACCTATCCCCCCGCCTCATCAACCCTTGCGAGGTGGGTGCCGTGAATTATCATCCATACTTACTCCTTAGATTCTCTAATCAATCTTCCATGAGGTGGTCGCCCCGAATTGTCATCTCTACTTACTCTTTAGACCCTTCAACGCACCCAAAAAAAAAAAGAATTAAACTACTCCTATATTTGTGCATAAAGAATTAGTGCGTTTAATTTCATTACTTGTTAGGAGGAACCAGGAAATTTCCTATGAAAGGGTGAACTTTAATGCAACCAAAACTTAAGTATATAACCTGAAGCATTTTTTTTATTTCTTGCGGGGGAAATATTTAAATTTACAAAGAAGCTTTTTCAAACTTTTGGTTTTTCAATAAAGAAAATTTTTAATTTTCCAAATCTTGAGGAGCTTTTGTTCCATCCATGCTATTAGGGATATTAGCTTATAGTTTTTGGTTATTATCACTTTACCCCCTTAACGTTTGCTGTTACTACCAATTTTCCCCTTAACGTTATCTTTTAGTCACTTTACCCCCAAGACTAATGGTCAAACTTAACAGAGTTTGTTAATTAAAGTGAAAAGATATTTTTAATCTTTAAAATTATTATCACTTTACCCCCATAAAATATAGTCTCATTATCAATTTACCCCCTACAGTTATTTTTTAGACAATTTATCCTACCATTAAACCAACTTACCAAGTTAAAAAACTTTATAAGAAAATACCCTCCTCTTTGCATAATAAAAATAATAAAAAATTTAAAGTGACTCTTCTCCTTTTTACTATCAAGAGAAAAAGTCAAAGTATTAATTTCTTTCTTCTTGGCAAATTTATTAATATTGAAAAAAAATAGAAAGATGGAGAGGGGGAGGGGGAGGGGGAGAGGGAGAGAGAGAGCTCAATTCTTTTTTTAAAAAATTACAAATAAAAAAGAATTAAATATTTTTATTATTTTAAAATTATTTCACTTTTTTGTTTACCACCAAATTCCAATCCTAATCTCGAAAACTTTAAAGTAATACGATAATGTTAGACTTTTCTTTATTTTCTTTTTTACAAAATCTAACTTTTTGTCTCCTTCTTTCCTTTCTCTTTTTCTTTTCCTAGTATTAATAAATGTGAAAAAAGAAACTTGAGAAAACCCTTTATTTTTATGTTTTTTGATCTCTTAAAGTAAAAAAAAAAAAATAACCATTTCAACTTTTTTATTTTTAATTATATATAAAAAAGGGTAAATATATTTAAAATTTTTTGACCATACTAGTTAGATTAACGATAAGGTAAAATGCCTAGAAAATAATGTTAGGAACTAAAGTGATTGTATCACTATAATCTAAATGAATAAAGTGATAATAACAATGTAGTAATGCTATAAAATAAAAGGGTATTTTTGTTCAAAGTTTTTTAACATGTTGAGTTGAATTACTTATAGAGGTAAAGTGACTAAAAGATAACGTTAGGGGATAAACTGATAGTATTGATATAGTTTAATGGAGTAAAGTGATAATAATCCTATAGTTTTTGCAACTTTGTTAAATATAGGGAAATTTTGTGTAAGCAAAGATAATCTTTTAAATAAATCAAATGCAACATACATAATCTTTTAAATAAATCAAATGCAACATACATAATCTTTTAATAAAATGACACACATTATAGACATCAGTGATTAAGATACAATATATACGTTTGCAACTAATAAAAATAATATTTTTTTAGAAATTGACAATTAAACACTAATATCTAAAAGTCGGAACTCAAAATTTTTCACTATTAGAAGAAAATATCGAGATTAACAATTTTTACGACTGCCACTTGTTTGCCTATAAATTTAACAATGTTAAGTACAACTATCTTTAAATTTGCTACTTCATATATGCAACGTAAGTTTCAAAATCTTCAATTTTGGACTAAGGGATTAAAGTGCCAAAAAAAGGAGAAAAAGTGGTAGAATAATAATAGTTAGCATTGAGCTTTTGTTTATTTAAAGGATTTTTTAACGGACACCTAATGGGCACTTGTTAATATGGATAAGAAACAACTTGCTTAATTAATGTAGTAATTATTTCATATTTTAGAAAGCTATTTTTAAGGGATTCACATGCTAAATGACATACCTAACCTTTCTCTAAAATAAACATCACAAAATCTTCCGTTGGCACTTAGGAACATGATTTGGAGTTATGAAAATTTTAACTCATATTTAAAATCTTCAATGATTTGAGAAAATAGATTAAAGACAAATAAATGCAAAATTCAAGAAAGAAATTATCTTTCAGTTGAAAATGTTTTTGTATTTCAACATCGTTTCACATTAAAAGCATTAATTTGGTTTAGATTAGTGTTGTCAAAAGTCACGAGAAATATCTTAAATTCATTTATCAAATAAAAGAGAAAGGAAACCTATAAACCAACCACATA